TCACACACTGTCATGTATACGGTATACAGACTCGACCACCATGTCATCCCACGTTTGTATATATAGTATAATGATATTACACTGGTCACACACTGTCATGTATACGGTATACAGACTCGACCACCATGTCATCCCACGTTTGTATATATAGTATAATGATATTACACTGGTCACACACTGTCATGTATACGGTATACAGACTCGACCACCATGTCATCCCACGTTTGTATATATAGTATAATGATATTACACTGGTCACACTGTCATGTATACGGTATACAGACTCGACCACCATGTCATCCCACGTTTGTATATATAGTATAATGATATTACACTGGTCACACACACTGTCATGTATACGGTATACAGACTCGACCACCATGTCATCCCACGTTTGTATATATAGTATAATGATATTACACTGGTCACACACTGTCATGTATACGGTATACAGACTCGACCACCATGTCATCCCACGTTTGTATATATAGTATAATGATATTACACTGGTCACACACTGTCATGTATACGGTATACAGACTCGACCACCATGTCATCCCACGTTTGTATATATAGTATAATGATATTACACTGGTCACACACTGTCATGTATACGGTATACAGACTCGACCACCATGTCATCCCACGTTTGTATATATAGTATAATGATATTACACTGGTCACACACTGTCATGTATACGGTATACAGACTCGACCACCATGTCATCCCACGTTTGTATATATAGTATAATGATATTACACTGGTCACACACTGTCATGTATACGGTATACAGACTCGACCACCATGTCATCCCACGTTTGTATATATAGTATAATGATATTACACTGGTCACACACTGTCATGTATACGGTATACAGACTCGACCACCATGTCATCCCACGTTTGTATATATAGTATAATGATATTACACTGGTCACACACTGTCATGTATACGGTATACAGACTCGACCACCATGTCATCCCACGTTTGTATATATAGTATAATGATATTACACTGGTCACACACTGTCATGTATACGGTATACAGACTCGACCACCATGTCATCCCACGTTTGTATATATAGTATAATGATATTACACTGGTCACACACTGTCATGTATACGGTATACAGACTCGACCACCATGTCATCCCACGTTTGTATATATAGTATAATGATATTACACTGGTCACACACTGTCATGTATACGGTATACAGACTCGACCACCATGTCATCCCACGTTTGTATATATAGTATAATGATATTACACTGGTCACACACTGTCATGTATACGGTATACAGACTCGACCACCATGTCATCCCACGTTTGTATATATAGTATAATGATATTACACTGGTCACACACTGTCATGTATACGGTATACAGACTGACCACCATGTCATCCCACGTTTGTATATATAGTATAATGATATTACACTGGTCACACACTGTCATGTATACGGTATACAGACTCGACCACCATGTCATCCCACGTTTGTATATATAGTATAATGATATTACACTGGTCACACACTGTCATGTATACGGTATACAGACTGGACCACCATGTCATCCCACGTTTGTATATATAGTATAATGATATTACACTGGTCACACACTGTCATGTATACGGTATACAGACTCGACCACCATGTCATCCCACGTTTGTATATATAGTATAATGATATTACACTGGTCACACACTGTCATGTATACGGTATACAGACTCGACCACCATGTCATCCCACGTTTGTATATATAGTATAATGATATTACACTGGTCACACACTGTCATGTATACGGTATACAGACTCGACCACCATGTCATCCCACGTTTGTATATATATAGTATAATGATATTACACTGGTCACACACTGTCATGTATACGGTATACAGACTCGACCACCATGTCATCCCACGTTTGTATATATAGTATAATGATATTACACTGGTCACACACTGTCATGTATACGGTATACAGACTCGACCACCATGTCATCCCACGTTTGTATATATAGTATAATGATATTACACTGGTCACACACTGTCATGTATACGGTATACAGACTCGACCACCATGTCATCCCACGTTTGTATATATAGTATAATGATATTACACTGGTCACACACTGTCATGTATACGGTATACAGACTCGACCACCATGTCATCCCACGTTTGTATATATAGTATAATGATATTACACTGGTCACACACACTGTCATGTATACGGTATACAGACTCGACCACCATGTCATCCCACGTTTGTATATATAGTATAATGATATTACACTGGTCACACACTGTCATGTATACGGTATACAGACTCGACCACCATGTCATCCCACGTTTGTATATATAGTATAATGATATTACACTGGTCACACACTGTCATGTATACGGTATACAGACTCGACCACCATGTCATCCCACGTTTGTATATATAGTATAATGATATTACACTGGTCACACACTGTCATGTATACGGTATACAGACTCGACCACCATGTCATCCCACGTTTGTATATATAGTATAATGATATTACACTGGTCACACACTGTCATGTATACGGTATACAGACTCGACCACCATGTCATCCCACGTTTGTATATATAGTATAATGATATTACACTGGTCACACACTGTCATGTATACGGTATACAGACTCTACCACCATGTCATCCCACGTTTGTATATAAAGTATAATGATCTTACACTGATCACACACTGTCATGTATACGGTATACAGACTCGACCACCATGTCATCCCACGTTTGTATATATAGTATAATGATATTACACTGGTCACACACTGTCATGTATACGGTATACAGACTCGACCACCATGTCATCCCACGTTTGTATATATAGTATAATGATATTACACTGGTCACACACTGTATTGTATACGGTATACAGACTCGACCACCATGTCATCCAACGTTTGTATATATAGTATAATGATATTACACTGGTCACACACTGTCATGTATACGGTATACAGACTCGACCACCATGTCATCCCACGTTTGTATATATAGTATAATGATATTACACTGGTCACACACTGTCATGTATACGGTATACAGACTGGACCACCATGTCATCCCACGTTTGTATATATAGTATAATGATATTACACTGGTCACACACTGTCATGTATACGGTATACAGACTCGACCACCATGTCATCCCACGTTTGTATATATAGTATAATGATATTACACTGGTCACACACTGTCATGTATACGGTATACAGACTCGACCACCATGTCATCCCACGTTTGTGTATATAGTATAATGATATTACACTGGTCACACACAGTATTGTATACGGTATACAGACTCGACCACCATGTCATCCCACGTTTGTATATATAGTATAATGATATTACACTGGTCACACACTGTCATGTATACGGTATACAGACTCGACCACCATGTCATCCCACGTTTGTATATATAGTATAATGATATTACACTGGTCACACACTGTCATGTATACGGTATACAGACTCGACCACCATGTCATCCCACGTTTGTATATATAGTATAATGATATTACACTGGTCACACACTGTCATGTATACGGTATACAGACTGGACCACCATGTCATCCCACGTTTGTATATATAGTATAATGATATTACACTGGTCACACACTGTCATGTATTCGGTATACAGACTCGATCTATGTCATCCCACGTTTGTATATATAGTAAAATGATATTACACTGGTCACACACTGTTATGTATACGGTATACAGACTCGACTACCATGTCATCCCACGTTTGTATATATAGTATAATGATATTACACTGGTCACACACTGACATGTATACGGTATACAGACTGGACCACCATGTTATCCCACGGTTATATATATAGTATAATGGTATTACACTGGTCACACACTGGCATGTATACGGTAAATACGATTGGCACAGTGATTTCAAATAACCTCACTGTGTGGCAGTGGTCACCTCTAGAACAAACACACAAACACCGCCACACGTGTGATCATTGCCCTCTGTGAGCAGAAGAAGGGAGACAACTCCACCAAGTTCAGGTACACGCGACAGAGTGCTGGGTATGGACAGACTTGCAGTGAGAGGGGAACACAAGTAGTCGATGTCTCCTCAACACAGTCATGGTAGTTTGTGCATAAACTCTGCACGACACAAGGGAGGCTACTCCGTCAGTCCCATGCACAGACTGCTCACAATGCAGTCCCGGGTGCATTCCACACAAGTCACTGTCAGTGCAGTCATACCGACATCACCACAGCAGCGTGCACAGTACAAGGGAAATTCAACTATATATCACTAGGTAGTACATGTACAACCACACTGACAACACGCACAGACATTTATGAACTGAGTTTGTACTATATATACGGTTTTCGCAGTTCTCAGCAACAGTCTCACAAGTGGGACATCAGGAATGCTTCACACATTGTACCCACGTGCGGAGTCGAACACGGGCTATATATGATTAATCGTTCAGAGTGCTACGGGAAAATATCCAGTTTAAAGGTATTACATCCTACCCTGTCAGTTAATGGCCCAGAGTATGACCCTCCATCTCCTGGACGTCTACAAGTGTTACATCCTACCGTCAGAGGATGGCCCAGAGTATGACCCTCCAGCCCCTGGACATCTACAAGTGTTACATCCTTCCCTGTCAGCTGATGGCCCAGAGTATGACCCTCCAGCTCCTAGACATCTACAAGTGTTACATCCTACCGTCAGCTGATGGCCCAGAGTATGACCCTCCAGCTCCTAGACATCTATAAGTGTTACATCCTACCGTCAGCTGATGATCCAGAGTATGACCCTCCAGCTCCTAGACATCTATAAGTGTTACATCCTACCGTCAGCTGATGGCCCAGAGTATGACCCTCCAGCTGCTGGACATCTACAAGTGTTACATCCTACCGTCAGATGATGGCCCAGAGTATGACCCTCGAGCTCCTGGACATCTTCAAGTGTTACATCCTACCATCAGCTGATGGCCCAGAGTATGACCCTCCAGCTCCTGGACATCTACAAGTGTTACATCCTAACGTCAGCTGATGATCCAGAGTACGACCCTCCAGCTCCTGGACATCTTCAAGTGTTACATCCTACCGTCAGCTGATGGTCCAGAGTATGACCCTCCAGCTCATGGACATCTACAATTGGTACATCACAGCTACTTTGGCCTTTACGTCAACTGAACCTCAACCTCATTAATTCCGTAAACACCATTCACTGTCCAACTTTACTATGTATATATAGCCTTGCCTCCAGTATTGTACATCACTTGCTTAATAACGGTGTTAGCAGCTACACCGAAACGTCGCTCATATTAGTATTACAGATTTCGGATATCCATAGAACTCTCCTCGTTGTGAATCTCCCGTCCATGATAGGCGATAAACTGAAATGAAGATTCAAAAAACTATATCTGTAAAATGTTTTATTTAAGTTACAGCCGTAGAACAACATCTTGCAAATTCATATAGAAATATTTGTTGAAACACGCAATCAATTTGAACAGTGAATATAAATAACGTGTATGTCTTAACCCCAGACGCGATATAAACTGAAATAGCAAGCAATAGCTATGACTCTGTATCTGTAGTGAGATGGAACATCAAAGTCGTAGGCCAGACAGACAGATTGTTTATCCACGACTCACTTCTTAATACAAAAGTATAAACAGAGAATTTACAGTATAGCCACCCAAAATGGGTTATTTGAGACGATGTAAACCAAATGACACTATATTTACATAAAATATAGTTCTTATCACAAAGTGTATACGGTAGGTTATTTGTACATTAAAAGTGCATAAGATAATTAAATATACATTGTAAAAGTCTTTGCTAAAGATGGATGGGATAAAAGGATTATAAAACACACATATAGAACGTAAAGCACAGAAGGAGACTCTACCATAAAGAGTAAAAGTAAGTACACAAAAGATGTTTCCAACGATAAAATAATTAGATAGGATATAACAAATCTGTTCGGATAGTTAAAATAGCTTTACAGGTACATTACACATATTACAACACCTAGCGAGTTGAAACATGGAAACATGGAATCAATTAGAACAAACATATTTAAATGCTTTGTGTTCCTTAAAGGTCACATGCAACGTAAAACACAACTTTGCAGATTCTGATACCTTTCGGTATGGACATACCGAAACAAATAGTCAAAAAATGCAAATTCAACTTATAAAGTTGAAAAATAACGCGATGAAAAAAACCGCGCGAAATCGGAGTTCAAACGTTTCACTAATTTTCCCCAGAGATTTCTGGGGAAACGGGTTTCAACAGCTGGGCTGCGCCCATAGCACGTGCGCAAGTAAATAGGTTCGCGCAGCTTGGAAGCGGGTGAATACTCGGTGAAGGCCTTGGTGTGAGCTATTTTTCTAATGTTTTGTTGATATCTCACAGGCGCGAACTTTTTATATGTTATGACAGTAAATTAACTGTTTATATAATTTCATTTGTCTATTTCACCACACGTTCTTCTTACCGAGACGCTTTCTCAGTTCGATACTTAAAAGCAATGTCATTATTTGGCGTTGACTCAGTTTCTAACTGTGATATAGATATGTCGTTGTCACAGACAAAACTCAATGTCTTGTTTTATTGACACCTATGTGTCTGCCTGCCTGTCTGCTAATGAAAATATTCAATACACAACTGCGATCACTGACCACATGCAATTCGAACTTAACACCAATCAGGCTATACACCATAAACAAAACGCATTGATTTATGGCCCGAGTTCGGTCTCTGTCACATTATGTAATTACACAGACAGGCAGGTGTGATACTTGAACACATGACATGTTATGATGTCTGTTGATTGCAAAATGTTATACACAAAAAATGAGCATGTATTTACAAAACCCATCATCTCTATATACACACAAAATATGAGGCCTGAAGGCGGCATCTGCTAATGAACCAGCCGTTACACTTGAGTGCACACCCACCCGCTCTGACTGGGTTCGGTATCCCGGCTGCTTCGTTTCGAGGGAGGTAAACCCAAGTACAAAATATTGCACTTTTGATTTGCGATTATACGCTTATAATTTTGTTTATTTGTTTTTTCATAATCAGCTATGCATATTATATGTCATGAAGAAGTGATAATTGTGTTTTAATTATGTTTGATTTTTTGATTGCATGTGACCTTTAAAGTTTCTTATTTTCTCTAAATCGTCAATGACAACTGGAAATGGCCCGATGGGGTGGACAAGTGCCGTTGTTGCTCAAACTTGTGATGAAAGTACACTGAAACTTAGGTCAGGTTGGGGTTTGCAAACATAGAGTACTCAATCAAATCTTGGGTTTTGTTTCAGTGAGTGAGTTAATATTTATCGTCACATCGGCAATATTTCAGCCATATCGTGACGAGAATAATCGTTTATCACACTAGAGATGAATAAAATTAGAAATTAAACGGGCGGCTGACGATGAACAGTAAAAATAGTAGAGCATCACAGACAAGGTAAAGCTGGCTCGCAGTCACAAAACGATATTACTAAAGAGAACAATACAATACAACAACGGGCCATGAATCGCCAGAAACTGGAAGTGAATTTGTTTCAATGCAAACGTACCAGTAAACATCGGAAAGGCATAAGGACATAAATAATTCAAGATATGTTTATCGATCTATAACGATAATGTTGCGTAATCAGTTGGAAAATGTACCTACGACATACTGCACAAAACATATGTCTTTTAAACACAACCAAAGCAAATAAAACAAACAATGAATAAACTTGCAAAAATCTGTAAAGCATAAGTATGTAAAGTGCACCTTTTATTTGTTCTGACACACATATCTCACAGCATAAGTATAAATATAACGAACTGTAGAAACCAGGTTACACAATAAATACTGAAGACGGGAGTGGACGGGAGCTATATGTTTTACCTCTGATTACTTTTTGAGTTCTATATTTGTTTTGAGAGAATATCATATATATATACTCTTTCTCTTTCACACACACACACACGATAGAGAGAATACAACCATATAAATGTATGTTTGGGTATGTTTGTGTGTGTGTTATATGTATGTGTGTGTCTTGCAGGGAATGCGTGAGGCCATGGAATTGACGTTATCCCTAAAAGACTCAGTGATTTCGTACAATCACTGTAACCCCCAGGGATTTCATGTGTTCCCTAAAAGACTCAGTGAAATCACTGTGTGACAGCAGTCCAGAGAGACCTTCTTTGTCCATGGTCACATCATTCGTAGAGGTCTATATATTAATAAAGTTATCAATTGACTTCAACATGGGTTTTTTTGTTGATAGAGGTATAAACCCAACGTAGCACATAAGCAATGATATAAAGAGTCATATCATTTCAATAGATTACTTCACAGACTGCTTGTTTAACCAGTAACAATGCAATACAACCTCGCTCATCGGGAAACAGTAGTCAGCAAGTGGGCGTGGCAGGTAGTACAAACTCATGGGCGCCATGTGCTCCCCTCTTTGGGTTGGCCAAGATGTTTAACTTAAACTTCCGGTACACCGGTGATCTAATATCGTTCAATAACCATCAAATAGCCGATTCCTTTACACTGATTTACCCACCTGAACTTGAGACAAGTGAGCTCGCATCAACTGTTTCATATTTAGATCTACGTATACAGTCTTGTGAAGTGACGAAGAAATACAACATCAAAAACACAACAACAACACTTCACTAGGCTTTCAACTTCCTAATAGCCAACTACCATTTCATGTCGAGCAATATTCCAACAGATCGGGCCTTTGGTCTTTACATTTCACAACTTTTTGAGGTACAGTCGAGCGTGCTCTTATTATCAGGATTTCAAAGACCTTCATAGCACTTCTGCTCAGAAGTTGTTTGATCAAGGTTACAACATTCAAGGCCTCGGTAGAGCTTTCAAGAAGTTTTACAACAGACATATATACCTACTAACATTTGTATAGCGCCGATATGCAGCTCAGCTGCTCAAAGGCACTTTGTATTTCCCTCGATCACGGGATGTCAATCTCAACGGCACGTCATATTATCAGTCTCAACTCCCTGGGGAGTATACAACTCTTGCAGCCACTATCCTTACGAGATACCCATTCACGGCTGGGTGGACTGGGACACATAGTCACAGTACTTGGTCCAAGTTTACTGCACGTTGCTGTACCCGCAACTAGGTGTTTGCACGTATTCATGTGGCCACCATCTGGTCATATACCAACAGATGCGTGGTTCTCTTAAGTGCGGTGAGTCTGCACACAAAGTTGACTCCAAGGTTTTTACACCAGGTCACAGGTGGGCTCGATCCCGTCACCTCAATCTCGCTGGATCACTTGCCTGGCGCTTTAGCCAGTTGGCCCACCATGTCATGTAGAGGAAATTTCCAAATTCGATGCATCAGTGATAAAAATGATGTCCGATGCCATTCTCTCGTTTGACTTATACCATACGTTCGCGAATTATTTCAGGTGAACAATTGTCTAGACTTAGCATATGTTTATGACGGGTGCCACCGGTGGGGCAGGACACGCTCACCTTTTCGCGAACACCTGGTATCATCACTATTTCATAGTGATTCATAAACACTTTGCTCTGTCATCGTATCACATGGTGACAATCACTGGATATTTTTACAAACATTTTTATACAGCTGTAATGCTGCTGAAACAAATATATGCTCATGATATAGCCACAATTGTACAATCGACTCTGCTTTTGGCAGAGATTTTGTTATGAATGTTGAAAGGGTTTCGTCGCCTCTATGTGCACTAACAACTCACATTAATACCATCAAAGCTCGGACAAAAGCAAAGAATAATTCCGTCACAAGCCAACTATTCACATCTTAAATACATTTAAGAACAAATAACGCTAATCTTGGAGAAAGATCTAAGGTTTAAAGTAAGGTGCAAAGAATAACCGGTAAAATCTGGTGTTCCCCATCTTTAGAAAGATGACACACAACTATCGGAGAAATATGATATAGCCAAACTAGGAAAAACTATTATGTGCCGAAATTACAGAATTTGACCAAAAATAAATATTTTGACTCTGACAATGGTGAGGACTATAATGAAGTCTTCTGCATACCTCTTTCCAGGTGGTGGCAATATCCATTACTAGTTACTGAAACATTGATCTTACTCGAACATTGATCAACTTTGGGTGTAAATGGAAACACTTGGTGTTCATTTTTATGTAAATTAAAGCGCTGAGAAGGCAAAGCACGAAAACAAATTGGCGGCCAAAAACAAAAATATGTCAAATGGCAGCAAACCAGATGTGACGATAATGCTCGCAGACCCCCACCACATATAATGGCCTGTAAAAAAATACTGAAACCACAATCTGAGAGTATTACAGGCCATTTCATGAGCCCAAGACACCATACTAACTGAAAATGCTATAGTGTCAAACAAAATCAGTACAGTACTGAGACAAACTCGGCAGAATATAAACCTTACAGGGAGGTAGTATTCAGAGGATGTTGTAGAATGTTCTAGCATCTTGTTCTATGTTCATCATACCCAGTTAGGCCTATTTTGTAAGTTGATTAACATTGATTAAGGTGAATATTACCATAACTGTCTTTACTGCCATAATCACTGCTCTTGTATCACATTACCTTTGAATTTGTACTGCCTTTCTATTTTGTAGTGCCACTGTGATATCATTGTATTGGTTTGTGAACATACTGTTTTACAATACAAGTGTTAATTGCTACATTCCATCTCTTTGATGTCTGTATGTTTCCCTCAAACATATTCATCATCAGACATAATCATCAAATAAACATAATACTTACAAATCTATATTCACGGATGGATCCAAGGAGGGTACCGGTGTTGCCAAAGAGACTATCATAGGATCCAGCACCTTATGAACTAGATTAATAGATAAGTCCTTCATTTTCACTTCCGAATCACACTTGATATTTTACCAGCCCTGAGATATATCAATCATTTTTAACAGATGGAATTTAATTCATTCCTTTTCAGACATCCCGTCTTACGGTTTTTTAACAACAACGATCTTGTATTAGTCATTTACCATATACTGATGAATATTTATTGAAAGATGATCCACCTTTCCGTATCCCATGTGATGAACGAATGTCTTACGCTGATGTACGTCCTGCTTCACTGTGTTGTTTTATCTACAGTAAGGGATCACTAGTTCAGGGTTTCAGCCATATAGGATCATATGAACCATGTTAGTTCTCATTTATTCGTTGGATTAATGAACTTGATGAATTTTGACATTTTGTAATCGATATTGGAACTCATATAGCTAGTGGCTGTATTCTTGAAGGGGGTTAAAGTAGTGTACAATTACTGTCTCCCTGAGAGGATACCCATGAGCATATCAGTCAAATACATATTTTATTCCCACCTCATTTTTAGTCCTAGTATATTCTTTAATTTTAGTTAATGTCTGAAATTGTGTGCAATCACTAGCGACCAGAGGGATGGCGTAAATCTGACTGGGAACCGCGCAGAAAGCAGAAGTACAGTACGTATGCCCCCAGTATGTTGGGCTTATTTCAGTTGCTGGTGAACTATAGTCCCATTTATTCGATGTGTTTATGGAATATTAATATATTCATTTAAAATTATCTTGGACAATGAATACCCAATGCCTTTTTCAGAGAGTGGGCAAAATCCACATTGGCTCCACAGTGGCTGACTGGGTAAGTTCACCCACTGTGTGTGCGATTAGGTTCCTTACTATGAGGGAGGGGGTTCCAATCTGTACTTTACTGAGAAAAACAGTCCCAAATCTAACATATATCAGTCTCAAACTAGCTATAAAATATAATATGTGGTAACCTTACTCTTTTCCTTCGACGACAGTTGTTTTATATACGCTTAATATACTTATTATTAGTATCATGCAACGTTTTTGTTCCAATATGCATGGGATATTGTCCATGTGACGTTCAGTTATAACTCACTCCATCTACCCTTCACTTACTCAATGAGACCATCACGTGTTACCAGCAGATCGCACACCTCACCACCCCTTGTCGCCATCATGGTCGGTGTTTCATCATGCTTGTTCCTGGCGTTGATGTCCACATTCTCCAGAGAGAGGACATAGTTCACTATATCAAGATTCCCTCCCTTAGAGGCAAGATGAAGGATGTTGTTACTGTCATCATCCACTGGTGTTGCATCAGCTCCTCCTTCCACAAGTAATTCAAATATTTCTCTATCCCCCATCCTAGCTGCCATCATCAGCGGTGTCCTACCACACTGACCGCGACTGTTTATGTCCACCTTGTCCAACTCGAGGACACGCCTCACAATATCCACATGTCCTCCCAGACAGGCTGAATGGAGGGCGTTGTTTCCAGCATAATCAGCTGCATTTAGATCAGCTCCTCTTCTCTCAAGCAAGTCAAGTATCTTTCCATGTCCTTGGTATGCTGCCGCCATCAATGGAGTCCTCCCGGATTGTCCCCGACCATTGATGTCTACTCTTTTATGTTTGAGGATGTACTCCACCATCTTCACACTTCCACCCCAACAGGCGAGTTGAAGGATGTTGTTTCCATCATGGTCTTCTTGTGACGGTAGACCCCCTTTACTCACAAGTAACTGAAATATTTTATATTCTCCCTTGCGAGCAGCGTACATCAATGGGGTTCTCCCATCCCGCCCTTTACTTTTGATGTCCACTGTTTTCATTGAGATGATGTGTTTCACCATTGACACATTCCCTCCACGACAGGCCCAGTGAAGGATGTTGTTACTGACAATATCCACAAGTGTCAGGTTAGCATCTTTCTTCACAAGCAGGTCTAGGATATCTCTGTGTCCCCTTCTTGCTGCCCACATCACCGGTGTCATGCCGTCTTTCCCTTTCTTGTCAATGTCCGCTATACTCTGATCCAGGATTCCTCTGACTCGCTGTAGGTTCCCTTCCTTGCAGGCGTCATGGAGGCCAGTGTCCTGGTGCTGGAGGGGGCTGACCACTGTAACACAAAGGTGATACTAGTGGTCATATGTATGACACATCTTACAACTAGCAACGAGTCATTCAACGGGTATATCAAGTAACTTTGTGAAAACACAAAGCAGGTCGTACATGTATCAAACAGCGTGCAACCTTGACTTATGTTTTCCTGAACCAGTTCTGTAATAGAATAGTTTTCCGTTTAAGTCTAAGAAAATGAACGTATTCGTCAAGTTCATGAAGGTATAAAATCAAACTGACATGAATGAAAATCAAGGTTTTCATTTGAAACCCGTACTTTGATGGCATGAAGCATAATCATGTGCAAGAGTAGCAAGGTTGCATTACATGCTCGAGGCTCGACCATCATTTTGAGTAAAAGCACTGGAATGTTTTACAGGAGAACAAAATGTAGGTTTGTGTTCTTACCCAGTAATATATATGACAAATGCTAAATCATTTCATCACTGTACAACCACTTGACACCCTACTTGAGATGTGCAGTGACCATCAGTTCTCAACTGCTTACTACTTCCTGTCTTTAATTCCGGTCAGACACTTCTCTCCCCACATAACGGAAGCTGACAACTTGTCAGCATACATTCATTGTAGGCTGTGCGTCATCACATTGAACATTATCAACAACCATTCCATGAACACATGATTACAGTCTGACATTAAATTTACAATAAAACAATTTCTGGTCAGCTTGAACCGGCTAACTTTGCGAGCACAGGAAGCCACACACAGGAAGCTGAACACATCAACCCCTCAGGTCCGCACCTACTTGAACATATCTGTACACGCATAAGCGTAAGTAATACAAATGACAGCATTATATACCTAAAATGGTGGTCAGTTTTATTGACTGGATGGAGATGCTTTTAACAAACATAACACCTTGCACTATTTCATCCAATCACAGCTGTCACATGTGACTTCAGTTACGGCCCGACTCAGCGAGCAAGCAATTCTGTGCATAGGCTGCACACCTATTCACGCAGTAATCATATACGATGATGCATGAATTTTATTTGATAACAGCTACAATCGTTTATTGTTCACAGATATGTAAATTAAATACTCAGAACTTCGGAGTTGTTCCTTGTGTACCAAACGACAGCGTACTTTAAACTGGCGAGAGATACCTTTGATTTAACATAATGCGCTCTGATCTTACTTTTGACCTAATAAATAGCAGCTAAATTCCCCCACATAGTTGATATTATTTCTACGTTGAACACGTTTGCTGTGTGAACACTCGAGTCGACAAACTCATACCACTCATAAAATAATTGAATAATAATCACAGACCACTAAGGTGAACCTGAAGGTCACACACACACACACACCTGTGCCGCAAAGGAACTCCCAAAGGAGGGTGGGGCTTAAGGGTTCAACACTCGATTTGGTCACACAAAGGTCACACCTATATGACGTCATAAAAACAAAACGGTGGATATTCTGTTCAAACCCCAACCCCCTTTACAACACATATTGCTTTTCTGATTTGAAAAAGATAATTCCAAGAAGGTTAGATGAGATAAAAAAAAACTTACTTGCAGCTGAATTGTTGTATTCCGAAGAGGTAAGGCGTTGTCCCTCATCGTCCAAGTCTGAAAATAAGAAAGTGTGTCTAAGAACAGTGGATAATCTACTACAGGACCATATTTGTAGCAACATGATGGAATCATAATTTACCACCTGTTTCAGCTTTCTCTTGAAAATCTATTTTTTAAGTCTTGTAATCCTCAAAGCCGATTTGACCTTTGAGTAATCTTAAACTTTTTACTTCTACAGTTATCAGTTGGTGAGTTGATATTAATCAGTTTAGGTTTAACCCGTGGAGTGTCAACTTAATGTGGAAGGAGGGTGTGATGCAGATGACAATAGTTCTGTTTTCGTATTTGAAATCGCATGAGAACCGATCTCGCGCACACTAGCGCTCGCACGCAAAATTTTATTGGACCAATTTTCTAGCCTCTGCACATGTTTGTGAGGAGTGCCCGTTCAACTCTTCTCGAACACCTGATATCAGTACTGTTGTATTCATCAGCACATTCCCATGATATAGTCGGAATACTACCGTCGACACTACTGTAGGACCATGTTCCGCATTAACACACCAATACCAAGTTTAATGGTTGAGAACATAATCCAGATTGTTTATGAAAAATATCAACCTGACTATCATATTGAACTTTCAATTCATTAAACAAAATTAGACTACCATATCATAACACTTGAATCAAACTGAATCCATCATTCATTAAGAGGGCATGACATTATACAGCGCTATAGGTCCGGTTAGTTATCAAATCACACACCGTTAAGAGGATGGTCCGTTACTTTTGCATTTGAGTATAGTTACAACGCGAGAACATCATACATTTACAAATGTTTGAACCCCGAAAAACCGTACGCGTGGAACTTAAACTTTACTTGTAAGTATAACGGTCACAGTTGATGCCAGTAATATGTTGTTAATATCTTACGCTGTTTCATTCTTTTTTTAAGCCCCTTCGATCTGCAACAGAGAACAGCAATCATTAATTAATCGAAACACCAAATGTCATGTTTGTTTGCTAATTTGTAAGTTCGCATTCATCAATATTTTAGTTATTAGGCAGTCTGTTAATGACTGCATCTGGACCACAATCCAGGGATACGATGACAGGCATCAAGTGAGCCACTTGCACTAACCACACTATCCCGTTAGTCGTCTGTTACAACACAAACGGGTTCTAACCTAAACAAACATCCGCAAATATCATTAATCAAAAGTTTATATCACTTCTGGTATTTCTTACTTGATCACAATTTACTGCTCGTCACGGGAAGCGCGCAATTAAGGGTAAGTTATATATATGTATTGTGCATTGACCGAAAGATTTCAGCGGTGGGAAATAACTTGATACTGTGAAATCCTGCGTAGGTGGAACGTAGCTGAACATAATATTGTACAACCATACATTATGTGCATAATCATAAAGCTATGGTTAGACAAGAGAACTAGTTACGTGTTCATTGAAAGGCAATCTTTTGGCTGAACATGTTTGAGTGAAATATATTCATACCTTATTTTGTACACAATTAGAGCGATGTTGATGCCGATGCTGACGATCAGCATGACGACCACCGGAACAAGTATTGCAGCCAGTGGTGGTGAGGCAACCTCTTGTGCCGACTGGTTTTCCCATTCTTTTGGACCACTTTCTTTTAAAAGAATGCATTAATTCAAATAACGCAAATGGCTGCTGAATCTTCATAATGAACACATACATTTGTTGAGTGTGTGTGTTTCTGTGCAGGCACTCGTTTAACAGAGGACTTGTCTTGGTCATGAAAATTGTTTTATGGACAGATGTATGTAATGATGAATGTATGATTGGCCAGGTATGCAAACGTATTTCGATTCACTAGTCAATATTTCGATAACATATCAGACATTTTAATCAAATTGGGAAATTTAAATAGATAGTATTACAATACAATGTTGTGATGAATTCAATCGAAATTAGCAAAGTTTCCTTTCTGCGGGATGCCATAACCGACGCAAAATCCCGAACAGCGACAAACGTAGCTATCAGCATTTCTGACTCCTTCTCTTGGTTAGAAAAAAGGAAAAAGGCACACATCAACATATACTGTATATAATCTCACGTGCACATATCAACATATAATCACGAAAGCCGTAACATAACCAAAATTAAAAATGATATTTAAATGACACACAGTCAGCACAACATGGCAGCATTTGCAAAAATGTTGCTTATGGAGCCCTGTGTCTCCAGGTTACACAACAATGTTGCATGCTTCCACGAAAATCAAAATAGAACATTTTCTGTGGTGCACGTACCTTTGTCTGTCTCACAATAATCCCCTGAATAGTTCGCTTTACATTTTATGCAAGTTCCAGTTTGTACTTGACAGACATTGTTGAGGCAGTTCCTGCTACACCCCAGATTACACTGGTCCCTATGCCAGCCTCTGTTACATCCTTCTGAACATTTCCCAGTCAGTTTGTGACAGTGGACTTTCTTGTCAGCAGAGGGGGCACAGTTAGTGCTACAGTTTTTGTCACAGGTTTCACCATATGTACCCAAGGGGCACTCCTCACTCTTTACTTCGATTGCTGAAACCGAGAAATATTCACAGTGATTCAACTGTTGGCGAGATCTTACCAATCAATCAACTATCCATCCAACCAATCAACCAACTAACCCACCAACCAATCAATCAATCAATTCCGAATACAGAATATTTGCCATCAACCAACACGATAACCCCTGTATATATTTATGAACGAGAAATTACTCACTAATTATTATTACAAGCAGGAAATACTTTAGCATCTCTGAAGTCTTCACTGGCTCTGCCTGAAAAAGATGACAACTTTGCATTTTGAATTCATTGTATAAGATCACTGTATTCATGTTGATTTCTCTTGTGATGCAGAAAATGTGTATACTGTTACAGTGACTACCATGCAATAGCCTAGCCTAGCATATGTGAGCATAGTCCTAGCCATATCATATATAGCATAGCCATAGCATAGCATAGCATAGTTCTGTTGTACATGGCAACACTGTTGTACATGGCAAACTGTGCACCCACATACATGAATCATGGTAAACACAAACATGGTGTGTGCATTACGAAAATAATAACTATGTACCATAGTGCTATTATCCAGGTAAAATTACAGACCATTAAATGCTGATGGCGACAAAACTGTATTGGAAACATAATGTATGCTGTTCCATGACCCAAACCCTAACTTCAGTCAATAACGAACTCATAGGGAAGCCTTCTCAGATGAACGTGCGAAAGAAAACGAACGGTACGGACGTAACGGTGAACGTCACGCGAGACAGAGCGAGACGCACTGGAGCGTCACGCGCACAGAGGCTAGACAGGATGGGACAACAAGAGTAAGCTCAAATGTGGGTTTTTGAACGTTAATGGTTGGAGCACTGATAACTTATCCTGCAACTATCCAGTAAGAGCTGGTTATGTACAGTACTCGGGTGTAGATAGAGTTGGAATAAGTGAAACACATCACCAAGACAACGACACAATTGAAATGCCAGGTTTTATCTTTTATGGCCACCGTAAAGCGAAGTATGGCTCCGGGGCATGAGTTTCCTAGTAACTTAGCCATAAGGAAATAACTCGTGTATATTGTATCTGTTTGCTATCTCCCACCAGAAAATTCTACCAGAGCAATAGATGTGATTAGCTTCTGTGATCACTTATTAACTGATATCTACTCTGGAGCTGTATATAATCTCTGGAGACCTGAACAGTCGGTGTGGTGATTTAGAGGATCTTATCGATGGCGTTGACAGCTTACCCGACAGGGACATTATAGATTACACACAAAACAGGTATGGCTCTGCTGTTCCAGCTCATTTTCTTCTAACGTGGACAATGGAATCAGAAGGATATGGTCATCTGGAGAAAGATACGGAGAACTCACGTTTTAAATGTGAATATGATAAGTTCATTGTTGATAACATACCAGGAGATTTTATGACAGATTTGTACAAAGTACATCAACTACAAGAACTTGTTAGGGACATTGCAAAACGTGAAAGTCACAGATGGGCTTAGACTCTGCATATAATAGTTTCTGTGACATAATCAGATGTGAGATGGAAAATAAAGTGATAAAAGTTCATGACACTATTAGGATTGGTGCTAACAGCAAAAGACGCCGTGCTAAGAAAGAGTGGTGGAAGGACACTTTAACCCGCCAGTGGAATAAATTATGTCATGCTGAACGGAAATAGTGTAAACGTAAAGAGATATTAAAGAAGTCCTCACTAAAGGTATTCAGACATTTAAGAAGAACGTTCGATCGAAGTGTACAGGGAACTGCAGGTTGTCACTTCGACAGGATCTGTTCGAGGCCGCACAAGAAAATCAGACTTATTTTTGGAAATCTAAAGGAAAGGTTGGTGTTGGAATGGAGCGAAATAAACAAATTCCTGGAGGTCGTGGATGAAGACGGAAGTGTATCATGTGGGCAGAGATCTAGAGTAGTGCTAACAAAGTGGAGAAATGAATTCGATACATTGCTTAATGTTAACGGTGGTGATGAACTGCCGTACGTCTTGTCACCCCAGAGAAGTGATAATCCTAGGGATGATCCTCTTATTATGAATGAATTGGAACTGGCTATGCGCAAATTGAAGAATGGCAAAGCTGTTGGTTATGATGAACTGCCTGTGGAAGCTTTAAGTAATGAATGTGCTGTGAACGTTTTACTACAGCTTTACAATCTCTGTTACAAAACGGGAAGACTACCAGAATATTGCACTAAAGGAATTATCCAAACCATACCAAAATTAAGCATGACAGACAAGCGGGACCCCAATCATACAGAGGTTTTTCACTCTCATCGAGAGTGTATAAGCTATATTGTGGAATTCTCAATGCTCGGTTAACAGATTGGTCTAGCGATAGTTATAAGAAGAAGAACAGAATGGTTTTACAAAGGGCCGCAGTACTGTGGACCACATGACAACGTTACCTAACTTAATCGATACAAGAAAGAAGAAGTTATCAACAATTTGTGCACCTATACACTTCAAAAAAGCTTATGATTCAGTCGACCGAAATATCCTCTGTCATCAATAAGCTTGAACACTTTGTAACAAATGGTTATATGATGGATGCTGTTCGTTCCATGTATAGAACAGTATATAGTTGTGTTAGGATCAACGGATTAAGGACTGACTGGATTAATGTAAACAGCGGAGTTAAACAGGAGTCTCTACTATCCCCTTTACTCTTCAAAATCTTCATAAATGATCTTGCAAAAGTATTTCAACATGTGGGATTGGGAGTACAGTGTGGAGAGGAAAAACTGAGTACCTTGGTATACGCAGATTATACAGCACTTGGGGCGATGGGGTAGCCTAGTGGTTAAGGTGCCCGCTCGTCACGCCGAAGGCCCGGGTTCGATTCCCCACATGGGTGGAATGTGTTAAGCCTATTTCTGGTGTCCCCCGCCGTGATATTGCTGGAATATAGCTAAAAGCGGCGTAAAACCAAACTCACTCACTCATTCACTCACTGATACAGCACTTCTGGCTGAACATGGAGAGGCTAACAGTGAATGAACTTCTAGATATTAGTGTCACGGCAAAATACGTAGCCCAGTCTGCAAACAGTGGCCTAGGTCTAGTGATAGCTAAGTGTAAACTTTTTGGAGATTTCACAAGCTATATGACAGTATAGTGCTACCGGTTATCACATACGGAGCAGCTGTGTGGGGTCTTCAGGATCACACGTGTACACACGCTGTTCAGAACAGGGCAACATGTAGGTTTCATTTAGGTGTTGGTAGATATACGCCAATTTGCAACTGATGGAGTGTTTGGTGACCTAAGAGGGGTACCCGTAAGCATGTCACAAAAGATTGCAGGTTTACAATAGTGGCGCAGACATATGTATGACAATAGTTTGAAGAAGGATATTTCTTGTACAAGATTCAGTTCAACCAGGCATGGTTAAGATAATGGAAGATATGCTATTCGCCAGATATAGGTGTGCATGGACTCAAAGGACTAATGACAATACAGGGAAGCTAAGGACCTATAACACTGTGAAGAAAAGTGGATATCAAGCGGAACATTTCATAGTATCACATATGCCCCGAACACAGAAATGTTATGGCGATATTTAGACTGGGAGTAGCACCTATCACACTAGAGACAGAGCCATATAAACGTTTACTCGTGGAAGAGAGACTATGCCCAATGTGTGAAAACTGCTGTGTTGAACATGAATATCATGTTATTTAATACTGTCCTACTTATGATGATTTACGATATGCCCTTTTTAAAGAAGCAGAATGTGTATGTCCCAATGAGAATGTTTTAGCAGAAGCAGGGCAGTTTGAAGTGCTCGTTATACACGATGATTTAACTTTGTTGTGTACCAAAGCCTGTTTTAATATTTTACGAGGAAGATGGTGTTTATATAAGTATTGCAATATTTAGGTGTAGATCTAGCTATATTTATTTTTTTGTCTCTCTGAATTCCTATGGAATGACATGTGTAAAAGTTTATTGTTATCTTTCACAATGTTTATATGTAATGTAACACAAGGTGAGACGTTAATAAAATATATGTCTGTCTGTCCATAAACCAGATATATCCACTAGCAACACACTTTGTTTCTGTTTAGACATATTTTGGACACAAAATAGCATATGTGCAGTTTCGTTTTTTGTTTTGTATATTTAAACGCCATTGACGTCAACAAGCTGTCGTGCCCAGCAAGATCTCCTGACATGAGCACCTCTAGGATCATCTCGGAAGCCGAGTTGGACAACGTCAACAGCCTCTGTTTACTAGGATTGCGTTGGTACTGGGCCTACAGAAGGAATGACGTCGGATCCCTGATAATGTTGTCATGAATTCAGTACTTCCATCGATGTCGTGCTGGGGCGAGCACAGAAGCACAAGGTGGCAACACCCGATATTAAGACACGTCGGTTGCATTAAATGTGCATGTATGTGATTTGTTACGTTCTTGTTTGCACGAATACTGGAATACAGAAGTGTAAATGCAAGCTAGTTCGTTTTGTGTCTGTACACAACTGTTATGGATTGATCTTTAGATAATATAAAATGTTACAAGGTCTTGTTGTTAGTGGTTGTGTTGTTTGCGAGTTAAAAATACATGGTGGCGTTTTGTTGCTCCTCAGACGACTCAGCTCTCCACCAACCCGCGAGTTCACTGGAGCGTAAAACAGGATAGCGGTATAGAGAGAAGGCGGGAGCGCTATAGTGAAATAATTGTTTCGTTGAGAGCGCACAGTAAGATGAATGAAAAGCACTCCAGCCTGCCCAGCCTATCGTTATTAACTTGTGTCACAGCTACAAAGCGTCACGGTAAGAAAACGTGAAAATTATTCATCAGTTGCGAACTAACAATTAATGTTCGCCATTTGTATATGATGTATTAATAATAATGTTCTATTTTGTTATTTGTAGCACCTGCGGTGATGATTATTCACAAATAAAGCATCTTATTCGACAGGCAATTAAGAAGTGTATCTTCATCAACTACCTCAGCTATTGACACTACCAGCAGATCCCGTCTGTGTCTCCCACTGTGCGCCGAGGATATATAGGAGAGAAAACAGTCCGACTTACTTTTGAAACTCAGTTTCTAGCGAGTGAATTCGTCTGAATATGTTTGTAAATGGTGAAAATGAGACATAAGCTAATTGTATTCCTTCACCTTACTAGAAAATATGTTTTAGAGTTTGTCCTCCCACATTTTCTCTTTACTGTTATTATGACGGGGATCGTGTTCCCGACATGGGGTGGAACAACAGATGACTGAAGGCCTGTCAACACTCCTCAGTACACTCATTCTAAATGTAAGTGCACAATATGTATTTCGAAAACATCGACAGTTGGAATAACAGGTTGTAACTTGCATGGTGCAAAGGTCACGTATTTCTAAACTACATTCATGAATTTTTATCATCCAATTCAAACCTGTCCAAAATTGTATGTTTTTACATAATTAATAAGTGAAGTTTAAACAATTAAATATGTAAACTTTTCAAATTGTATCCATTTACAATCAAGGATATATATTCATAGACTCTTAGAAATAAAAATCACTGTCCTAAACATCATCGTAGTATAATACCTAATACGGATGGAAGTAAGTTTGATTGTATATTACGTTATGAATCTTGTATTTTATGTTATGAAAAACAGATATGGTCGATTCCAACGAAAAGTGTACACAGCATGTTTGGGCCCATAACAATTTAGCATTACTATCTTCACTTATTTCGGGGTGCCCATCACATCGGCACAAGTGAGACGATTCGGGCCATATAAAACATGACTATTTTTAATTAAAAATTAAGCTTATGGGAGACAAAAACAGGTCATTTTTATTAATTTTGACTTATATTTTACAAATGTTTTGTTGAAAACATGTTGTGTATTAAATACTAGTCAAAGTGGATGAACAGAAGTTTATTAATCTGATTGCCAAATAGTTCATGAATAAATCCCCTGAAATGATCTTATCTAGGTCTTAATTCATAATTTTGGTAATTTGTTTTCAAGTGGTATTGTTTTGCGTTACCTACGAATACAGTTTTCAATGACACTGTCAATTTATGTAAATGCAACACAAGGTTATGTTTTGTATTACGTTTTACAGCATTAATATCTAAAGAACTCAAATGCAATGGCGTTACATAATATTTCTTACAAGTAATAATCTTAAAAATGTTAGAAAATCAAGGTCTGATTTGGTAGAAAAAATCACGTTACCTACAAATACCATTAAATATGTTTCTGTTTCCCGCTGTGAATTATATTCTAAGTTCAAGTGCAAAGGTCCACAAGGTTTTCGTGTGCCACATCTTAACATTTCTGTTTTGTTTTTACGAAGATATCACACAAAATAACCTTTATTCGTAGGTAAATGTAACTCCAAAATGTTACCTACAAGTACCAACAACTGATCACATTCAAGTAGATTGGTGGAATGAAAACACATGACATGTGTTCCATTTGGAAGTCATCATAGATGAGACAAGACAACATATTGGTGATTAGTAGATGCTACATTTTCTGTAAGAATGTTATATAAATACACCCATGTCACAACAACATAGGATGTATATGACACCTGTTACAAATAACCAACTTTAATGTTAGTGAGATTTTAAGTCTTATTATTGTAAAAAAAGCCTCAGGCTGCAAGTGGAATTGACATGGGGGCTCAAATTGGTAAGACATGGCGTCCCGCTGGGATTTCCCCTGTTTTGGTTCACGGTATTTGTAGATAACATGTATTCGTTGTTAACAAAATGAATTAGAGAACATAATACGCTACTATAACATAATTTATACTGAAGACAATTATTGCAGATCATAAATAAACTGATTAGGTACGCAGTACTGCCTATTAATAGATTGAAATGGTTCCTTAGAATTTCAAATGGCAACATAACTGAGCGTTCAATAAAAATGTTCTATTCAGGGATGCACTGCAGTTCGAGGTTTAGACTTTATTATAGTGACATATAATTTTTCATTGAAATGTCAGAAAACAAGTTTGCATGATATCACGCAATAAACGGTTGATTCGTTGGTAATATGTGTATTCGTTGGTAACATTACGTATTTGTAGGTAACATCAGTCAGTGTGTTGGAAGTTTTATGTCTTGTTCAGGGCTGTCCCCGATGCACTTGCGAACACAGAAGAATTGAGACTGTAGTAGAAGTTAGTTGCATGGTTTTAGTAATTAGATTTGTCAAAGGTATGTCGTATTCGTAGGTTCCTCGTTTTTGTAGTTGAAACTTTCTGTAAATGTCTATCTAATAGCAATTGTCATTGCAAAATATGGGTAATTAAAGCAGAGTTATAGTATTGATTGTTTTAGTGACATAATGGTATATGGTATACGGTAATAGTTCAAGCGTTTTAAACATTTGTGATGTGCTTTCTTTGAACACAAATGTCAGTTGAAACATCTGGTAAATAAAATTTCAGGTGTATTGATTTTAATTCAATTTCAACAATTCTCATCAAAAGTTTAGACACACTAGTGTAAATAGAGCCATTTAGTTCAGGCGACGTTTTAAAACTAAATTTTGCAAAATATTCCATACTGTTTAAAGGAAATGTTTACACGTGAACTGATGTATTGTAAAACAAATTCGTAACGTTGGAAACATTATTGTCATGAGTTCAATAAATGATAAAAATCAGTGAAAATTGGCGAATTCTGAACAAAACTTTACACCAAATTGCAGCTGTTCGCATGTACGATATTTGCACTTGCTTTTCAGCATTTTGATTCATGATCCTCGTACAATTCATCTCCATAAGGTTTGCAGTTGGTTCCCAATTATATATATAAATATACATACTCACATATAGTGAGTGTTTCTAGTGAGTCTTAAATAAGATAAATATGTAATAATGATTTGTTTGTGAAAATAACACTAAGTGGTGCTATCTCACTGACATCAAACAAAGGTACCAAAATGGTTCTATTTTCGTAAAGCTTGAAGTTATAAAACATGAAAGAAACCATAATATGGCTTCAGAGATTCTATAGTCATTAACATATTGTGCACGCAGAACAACAGTGAATTTGGATGTTAGGTAACATACAATCCATCTAATCACAGGATATACAAGGTATGATGTTGGTATTTGTAGGCAATTCAGAAAATTCAACTTCACTGATCCACCAACTTATCACTTTTAAAGATTAGTGATGGCAACTGATTTTCATAAGAGGCAAACATGTAGACTTTACATTGGTAAAAAGAATTACAAGGTGCAAGCAATTCTATTTTGGACCCCTTGTACCTAGCTGTGTACACTTTTCGTTGGAATCGACCATATGTTCGCCGAAGAAACATTTGGCCTTACACGCGACCATATTTTAACACAAACTACACCTAAGTAACTTCTAACCGATAACACTCATTGCCGGTAACGGCTATTTGCAAATGTAACGTTTACACAGCTTTAAAGATTTCCTCAAATCTTCATATTACGTTATACCATCGTTCATCACATGAGTATCGTATCGTACTAACGTATTGGCGCTAACCCACCTATGATGTTGCAACCTACATTTGACAATTTATCTCCCTGGATTTAATGTATTCAGCTGACAAATCAATATATAGCGTAATAAACATAACGTAAAATACAATGACGATGTTCGCTGGTAGCCACCTAACATATTTGGCATAGCTTTGCAGATTTCTCCATTTGCTGGCATCGTTAGCACCTAAGTATAACCAACCCATAGTAGGATTTGACGCGTGTTTATTTTTTCCCATTTTGCCAGAAATGCCATAACGTAAAATACATCCTTAACCATACGGTTATGTCTTAATAGAAAGTTGTTAAATATAAGTATGTAAAAACACCATATGATATGAAACGTTTTTCTTTTATTCCACAATGAAAAAAACTAACTACGCGATTATACAAATGATCTTTGCAAGTTAGAATTGAATTTCAACTGACTTTTAGGCCATAACGTAAAATACATGAAAACAGCGACATAGAACATTCCCTAGTTTTGTGAAATTCAAGAAAATACTTAACAGTAGGACTTGTGAAAAGTTGTCTAGACAGATCCGCATCATCAACTTGGTACGCATGTACTAGTTGGGGGGAAAACAACATTGCACACAAAAATATTATGCAATAAATATCATGTGTAACATGGGAAGGAGGGGTGGGGGCATTGATTTTGTCCATGATTTGCAGGGGGGTCACTTACTTTGTACATACATTTTAATTAGGGCGGTGTGTGTGGTGGTGGTGGTGGTGGTGGGGTGTACATGCTTCTCCATAAAATCATCATCACCCCCTACCCCACCCCCAACCATAAATAATGAACGGTCCCTTGCCAAAATCAGAATACAGAAACGTATCCAAGGACGAGCCCATTCCGTACCGTATGAGATGCATCCGATTGTGTTACATTAGAAACGAGCACGCGCAATGACGAATATTCCGCGATGCACAGTTTCACTCGTAATCAGGCGAAAACGGGAGCTAAACCGGTCTTGGTTGACGGATATTGACGCGTTCATATACAGACTACTTTATTGACCATTTCAGACGTGGAAACCCCACGAGGTGTCTACAACGTTAAACGATATATATCAAGGATATATAAATATACTTAATGAAAGGTAAAACCAAAACTAACTCACAAAACGAAGTCTGCTGTGTATAATTACTCACCTCGTATTGACATGTCGTGAACACCCGATCTGCCATGGATTCCTACTTTCTGTATTGTGAATCAGGGGAGACAACCTGAGGTAGACGTGACAAGAATGCCGGAGTGGTTGACTCGGTCAGATGTGGTATAATGAATGCAGATATGGCAATGCAGTTCCCTTCCTGGTTCAAATACACCAGTAACATTAGTGTCTCAATGCACTGATGTAAATGTGTCTTATCTTTCTTTCTCTATCGTGACGTGATGTTTTTCCTATTATAGTTGACAAAAGTGAACGAAGCATACATAAAATGTTGAGACCATTACCGACAACGACACGATGTTCCAAATGTTTCCCCAGTCAGCCCCGAATTCATGGTTACGTAATTTTGAGCAATATTTATGCCCCTTGATGCTCCAAAACCCCAGTTTCAAACATGAAATCATTCCAATGTCTCTTCTGAGAACAAAGACATCAGATGTTAGTGGTATTTGGCGATCAGTTTGGATCATGCGATTTTAATTTCCATTCTGGGATTCCGTTTAGTATGGTGTTCTGGGGACCTCATAGGAATGCCATGTGGTGAAAACATTTCTGTTACAAATTGTGTTCCAAATTTACTGATAAATTAGTCTAGAATGCCAGGACTAATGGTTAGGCTTGGTCTGTTGTGTAACGCCGAACACAGCTATCTATATTCCAGCTGTATGGCGGCGGTCAGCAGTGAAATTTAGTTACGTTAACTTTTCTGATTTGTGACAACAGTATGAAAAATAATTTCAATTCATATCATGATGAGATTGTTTTACAGCAGAATCGTGAAGAGAAAGAGATATCAATCTTCCATTTCCGGGATGGGGTGGAACCATGGGTGGGACGGGTGGAGAATCAGCTGATGGAAGACATAGATAATGTTTGTAGGAGCCGTCAACCATCTCGGAACTCCATGCATTCAACTAGATCTGCTAGATGCAGAAGAACGGTCAGCAGAACTCAGCTAGATTAATCTGAGGAATTTCAGGAACTTAGCTGGACATCGCAATTAGCAAACTGCAAGTCAGGGAAGGGGCATATGCTGATGTAGCACATGCAATCCTGAGATACAGATATATCCCTGAGCTACCAGGGTTTGTTGTTAACCCCCCTTGTGCCTGGTATTTCAGGTGAATTTTACCCCGTGTACATGAGGTACCAGATAGCTTAGATGCCAGTGTGCTCTGTTATCCCACTGTCTCTGACGTTCGCCCTTTAGTGTTGTACAAGAGAATGGGTTACATGCATGGAACAGCCGTTGTTACACGCTGAACTGATACCATATTGTACAGTGACATATTGCTAGTCCTGCTTGTAGGTTTGTTGTACAAATATGTTTGAGAGGCCAAGTGTGTACTTGTTGAACATGTAAAGTATGCGTTGAATATATTATTTTTAAATATTTACACTTCTCTGCAAGTGGTTTGGTATAAGGGATGAACAACCTGTACTGCTTAGTTTAACATTCACCAATACCGAGTATCAGGGTTCAAACCAGGTTGCAGGGTAAACGTTTAGCAGTTATCTAATTCTGTCAAATGGTCATGAGCATGTGATACCAGTGGGACAGAAGGCCTAAATGTTTTGATCAGGGCTCAACGTTCATTGTTACGACATAATACTCGGTACTGCTGAGTCATCTATACTCAAAACAGAGGTTATTGTGACACACAAACAATAAACACAATCAGCGTTAAACTTTCACTGCCGTGAAGGAAATGTTAACAGGTAGAAGCAAATATTTCAAGGTAAAGTACTCACTCGCTCACCGTCGTGAGTCACTGAACCATGATAAAGTATAGCCTACCTGCCAGTCGAATACGTCTCCCTGTCTTTATAGCTATGAATCTTGTAGAAATCACTAACGAGTCTTTACATCTGTGCCAGATATCTCTCATAATTGACCACTTGTATACGTCACAATGCACTTACGACATAAAACAGTTTAATTCCAACAAACCGACAATGCAGTAATTTTCAATTCAACTAATTATAAGGCACATACTTCAAAACCGTCATCTCCAAATATTATAACAAAGAACTTTAACACTGGACATGTCTTTAGTCAAATGGGAAACACTATAACCTACATCAAATAAAGATTTTCCTATAATGATTTATCAACACGCCCAGCAATATTCCATCTGTATGAAACTATGCACAATAAAGGTGTCGAATCTGTAAAACATGTCACAATATAATTATGGAACCTCAACAGTCCAGACGCTATCGCACTGTTGCCAGTGTCTGACCAAGAATTTGACAAAGTTCAACATGCAGTTATGATGAATATAAGCTGAGATTGAAAAAAAACCCGTCTTTTCGAAAGCTTGAAATTTAAACTACATTGCCCGTGGGCGAAAATATTTGCCTTTGCTTAAATTTATGTTTCGGAGGTTGTAAATGAATGAAAGTATTTAACTAATTTTGACATAATTCGGCTATTTTTTAGCGTTATTAGAATATTTTCAGTTGTTCAAAGCTGATGTTTAGTTATATTGCAAATATATGGTTAAGAATACATGCATGTATCATGACACAATTCAACTTATTTTAATGTAATTCAACTGTGATACAGCAATAATATCTCTACAATATTTGGTTCGAATAAAATGGGCCTACAAAACTGCCCTTTCCTCTAAATTAATGTCTTGATTAGCTTAAAATACAACGAAGGTGTGACAATTAGCACCGCCACACACATTTCAGTCACTCTTACTGTTACCATATCAAACGGATATCGTCTTCTTTATATTTCAAGTTGTAATATGACTGTTTCATTTATAAAAAGATATACCGTGTGGTCCTACGACTACATAAAAAAACAACAACGATGACGTGGAAGTGAACTGGTCTAAGCAAGCGTTTAATTACGTGATACGTTTTCTTGAATTACTAGTATACGTGTAATGTTATAATGTAAGGCAATTTTTCCCTTGAAATGAAGACCTTTTCTACATTCACAACATAGCCTCGATCAAAGGTGTATAATCTCTTTTCGGTCTGGACGGACCCGGGCTTTTAAAAACATGTTTAACCATTCAGACGTATGCCGAATTGTTTGGGTCCATACACTTAGATTATATGTTCCTATAACAAAGCGCTGTATTGTAAAAAAACACCCTTTTCAGAGAGAAGCTCTTTCCACACTCTCTGTAGACTCTTTAGCACAAGTCTTCCGTCCGACTTGGTCCGGGCTGTCAAAAGCACCTTAAACATCACATCATGTAGACTTAATTGTATTTAGAGCCATTGACTAGTATTATATGAACCTAAATACCACTTTGTAACGTCATAATACACCACTTGTAAAGATAACTTGTCCTTTAAAGTGAAGCCCTTTTCTCTGTCATTGCCAACATAGCCCCAATCAAAGGTGTTTGGTCTCTGTTCGCTGTCAAAAACAATCTAAACCTCACATCTGTATCTTGACTTGTGTTCATACCTATAGAATAAAGTACATAAGTACCTAATATCACTGTAAGGTGTCTCAAAGTGAAGTATTTTAAGCAAACATGTTTCTCAAAGTGAAGCTCTCTTTCCACATTCCCAGCATAGTCTTTATCACTGGTGTTCTCTCTTTCCTGGTCAGGGCTTCGTAGATCTATCTTCAATTGTGTTAATATCTTTACAATAGTATTATATCTACCTGAATACCACTTTTCAGAGTCTCAAAAAAGCGTAGAGATTAAGCTCACGTGTTGTAGGTAAATCTTAGTGTTCAGTCTGACTTGGCCCTGGCTAATTAAATCAATAGCCAGTACCCAGCTTGTATAGTGGTCCCTTTTGTAATTGCAAGTAGGTGTTGTGTTTCAGTCCGACCAACTATCTGTGAGGAAACATATGCTATATTTAGGATTACACTTTCTTAGTAAAGTACAAAATCTAGTATTTTTGTAGGGTGGAGTCCCATCCGGGATTCGAACCCACACCCTCAGAGTCATGCACCTAATCACCAGCACACAAAGTCAGCCGCCTAACCTGCTCAGCCACCGCGACTTCAACAAAAACGAAAGTCGGACAACTGGTAGTCCAGACTGCGGACTTTGTGTACCCCTCTGATAAATGTAAATTGGCATGGTTCCCATGACCCAACACCGATTGGACAATGCCATTTTAGAAAGTGGCCAAATGTAACATATGCTATATTTGGGATTACACTTTCTTAGTTAAGTACAAATTCTAGTACCTCTTTGGGTTGAGTCCCATCCGGGACTCGAACCCACACCCTCAGAGTCAGGCACCTAATCGCCAGCACACAAAGTCAGCATTGTGTATCTGTGAGGTGCTTTCAGTGGCATTGAAAGCTCCCGTCCATCGTTTCATCGATAAAGTGTTTTGCAGATAAATATGGAATCACTGGGCACTTAAAACATTTAATTTAGTATTAACATGGCCCATATGATCTTATTACAAGATGACGTGATATATTATAGAGTATGATTGGAGAATGCTGTTTTGATGATGTTTTGTTAAATATGATGTCACATTAATTAACTTTTAGTTATAATTGGTCACAAACGTTTGATTTTGATTTCAACGTCTCGTATCTTGAACTTGGATTATGTAACTTCACCGGTTGAGAGTAAGCTGAGAGATATAATTACCTCCTCTTTCTTGATGCTTGTTGGTGTTTTGCCACCGGCGAAGGATCGAAAAGCGATTCGATCATTGTCTTGAAGCCTGTTTTTGCTGGATTGTTCCAGAACTGTATAATGAGTATATTAGCGGTGGTTTTTGAGATGTAAAGGGGACTACTACATTTGATTACGTTCGTCTGTCTGCCTACATCAACTCAAAACGCACTTTTTCAAAACACCCGAGCCCAAAACTGCAGTCATAACACAGATTCGTGTTCTTGAGGTTTTCAGGATTGCATTTGGCTTGGTTACGTTTAGGTTAAAGTATCTGTCTTTAATTTGTTTAGTTGTCAAGTTTACACAGAATCGGAATCAATAGTTTCACAAGTACGTTTCAGTGCAGATTGAATCACCTGACAGCTGTGATTGGGTGAATTTGTGTAAGGTTTTGAGTTTTAAAAAAAGTACACCCATTCAGTAATTAAAATTGACAATGTTTTAAATATTTAGTGCTGTCTTTTTTAAATGATGACTTTTGTTGAATGTGACCACATGTATTTTCAAGTGTTGACAATTTGTGCGGAACTGGGGATCTGACTGAGACAGTCATTTTTTCAAATATTTTTATTGCTCTTTAAGGCAAGACTATGCATACATGTTCATGTAATAGCTGTTGATATCTTTGTTAATTTGAAAAAAAATATAACGTTACTGTAGAAGTCAATGGGAAAATATTCGGTCTTGTGTAACTAGGAGGCAAGACGCACCATCTGTTTCCCTACACGTCATGCATTTCAGGGATTGTTAAACAACAAACGAACAACAATAATGAAGCCTTAACAGTGAATTCTACATTCACAAATATATTGCAACACCCAAGTTTCAAATCAATTTTGTATTACATATTTTTAACAGCTCATTTTGAAAACAGTCTTTTTATCATGGACCAGAATATTTTCCATTTATCTACTTTTCTGGTTTGGTTCAATATTTGTTCAGCATGTATGTAGACGGATTCACTTTTCCGTAATTCCCGTAATACAAAATGGTGGTCACGATTTATATAATATTTACTATTTTGTATACAATATCCCGTTATTCTGTACCAAATGAAAACAAGATTATGAATCGATTCGACATAACGATAATACACAGCACTGTTCTTATAAAAATTTGAACTTACAAAAATCGATCATGTGTCCTTCATTGTATGTTCCAGAGCGGCGGGTTGTGCCACCTTACACATATTTTTTTCATCTTGCAACAATTGTGTCTTAAAGAATTTAAAATCTCGTTTAATTACAAAAAAAACTGAATAAAGCGTTACCAAGCAAACAATCCCCGTGCAATGTTGGGCAAGAACAGATAGTTAGTTGCAATGTAGTAGAGTGCGGAATTAAACAATAAACATGCAGTCCTCTTGGGATGTTGGACATGCTAACAATCACTGGCTTGTCTGGTCCAAACGTGATATTTACAGTTATAATTCCTTTAGCTGCAATATAGTTGCATGCAGTGTTAAGCAACACAGATATAGTAAACTTGACAAAAGTAAATCTCCTTCAACATTACGTCATGTTTTCCAGACGACTAGTAATTAGGACAGTGTTGGAAGTTTAGCTCATCAGTGCTGCTCTTTAGAGAATTTATAAGTGATGATGTAAAGAATGTACTATGTATCTAAACAATAAATACTAATACACAATGTGTCGTCACATACAATATGTGGTCTCAGCAATGAAGGTCTTCCTCATGACGTGTGAGTATGTGTGGTTGTCTGTGACAGATGTTCGATCCGCTGCTTAATGTCACCACCTGTTGCTTCGGTGTCACCATCTTCTGCTTCAAAGTCACCATCCTCTGCTTCGGTGTCACCATCCTCTGCTTCGGTGTCACAATCCTCTGTTTCAAAGTCACAATCCTCTGTTTCAAAGTCACCACCCTCTGCTTCAAAGTCACCACTCCCTGCTTCTAGCTTTGGTATGTATTGGATCGCAATGGATATAAAATATCACTCCTCAAGTGGAGATATATATGAGGCGACTGTTCTCGGATCAGCAACAGGGACGTCCATCGTCAGGTGTGTGTAGGAGTGGTCATCGGAGACTGAACTGCCTGGTGTACCATCTGGAACATCATCGTCGGCTTCAGTGTCACCACCTTCAGCCTCAACGTCACCAACTCCACCTTGAATGTCGCCATGTCCAGCTACAACGTCGTCATCTTCAGCCACTACGTTGACAGCTCCCGGAAAGTAATCTGCTAACACAGGCAGTGCGTCATCACTGACATCTCTTGTGCTTTCGTTGTTCTGATTCCGTATCCCGTCGCCCAGTTCTGCTTCATCTTCTCTGATTTCCCAATACTTCTGAACTTCTTGGTAGTCCATGTAATTGGGGTCTGCCTGCTCTAATACACTATTGTGTGTACCGGCTGACCTGTTTGAATTCAAGAGATAAAACAAAATGTAGTAGAACGCATGTAGCGATAACGTGTCTTTTGTGCCTTTTGTTTAATACATTGTATAAATGCTAAATGATGCGTCATAGCGTCAATGAAACTGTTTTGAATTTTTTGCTAATGATGTTCAAGGTAGGTTCAATGTGATCAATGCATCAATAACAGTTCTTGAAACTAATCTGTCCAGAAGCTGTGGCCGGTCTCAGGCAATCCTATTTACAGGATCCAACATGTTCTTGTCATGTTCTTTCCTTGTTAGATTTGGTCTTCAGTAACCCATGCTTGTCGTGAGGCGACTAACGGGATCGGGTGGTCAGGCTCGCCGACTTGGTTGACATGTCAGCTTGATACCATCTTTCTGTATTTATGATGACTGAAGTACACTAGCTATGTGTCAAATTGCTCTCACTGTTTCTCCGTTAATTTGTGCAAACCACAAAGCACTCAACCTGACTCACTGGGACTTTTAAACAGAATGCATCTGTACTGACCTTTGTGCACATGCGTGTTTGCGGAAACAGAAACAACATACAGGACTTGCAACCAGGAGGAAAAGGACGGCACTCACAATGATCGCCAGTGTAGTTGTGCTGATATGGGGACGAGCTGGCAAACAAACATACAAATGGACATAGATCTTGGAAGAAGCGGTACAAGGAAACTACTCTTGAAGCAACTACCACATGAACATTAGTCTCGGGGTATAGTCTCTGGCAAACTGTCACTGAAAGGGAGTTTGGGGATAACTGTCACATGAACACTAGTCTTTGGGTAACTGCCACATGAACACTGGTCTTGGGGTAAATATCACTGAACCGTAGTCTTGGGATTACTCTCGCATGGACGCTAGTCTTGGGGTAAATGTCAAATTGATAATAATCTATTGATAGCTGCCAGATGACATTAGTCTTTTAATATCTGCCACATGGACAGTAGTCTATGGACAGCTGCCACATGGACAATAGCCTGTGGATAGCTGCAACATGGACAATAGTCTATTAATAGCTGCCACATGGACAATATTCTATGGATAGCTGCAACATGGACAATAGTCTATTAATAACTGCCACATGGACACCAGTCTATGGATAGCTGCCACATGGACAATAGTTTATGGATAGCTGACACATGGACAATAGTCTTTGGACAGCTACCACTTGGACAATAGTCTATGGACAACTGCCACTTGGACAATAGTCTTTGGATAGCTGCCAATTGGACAGTGGTCTATGGACAACTGTCACATGGACAATAGTCTATGGACAGCGGTCACATGGGCAATATTCTGTGGATAGCTATCACATGTATAATAGTATATGGACAACTACCACACGGACAATAGTCTTTGGAAAGCTGCAACTTCTACAATAGTATATGGACCACTGCCACATGGACAATAGTCTATGGACAACCACCACAAGGACAATATTTTGTGGATAGCTGTCAAATGGACAATAGTCTATGAATAGCTGCCACTTGAAGAATAGTATATGGACAAGTGCCACATGGACAATAGTCTATGAACATGTGCCACATGGACAATAGTCTATGGACAGCGGCCACATGGGCAATATTCTGTGGATAGCTGTCACATGTATAATAGTATATGGACAACTACCACACGGACAATAGTCTTTGGAAAGCTGCCACTTGTACAATAGTCTATGGATAGCTGCCACATGGATAATGTTCTATGTGTAACTACCACTTGGACGATAGACTATGGACAACTGCCAATTGGACAATAGTCTATGAATAGCTGCCACTTGAAGAATAGTATATGGACAAGTGCCACATGGACAATGGTTTATGGACAACTGTCACATGGACAATAGTCTATGGACAGCGGCCACATGGACAATATTCTGTAGATAGCTGTCACATGTATAATAGTATATGGACAACTACCACATGGACAATAGTCTTTGGAAAGCTGCCACTTGTACAATAGTCTATGGATAGCTGCCACATGGATAATGTTCTATGTGTAACTACCACTTGGACAATAGACTATGGACAACTGCCATATGGACAATAGTCTATGAATAGCTGCCATTTGAAGAATAGTATATGGACAAGTGCCACATGGACAATAGTCTATGAACATGTGCCACATGGACAATATTCTATGGACAACTGCCACATGGACAATAGCATGTGGATACCTGCCGCATGGGCAATATGTTATGGACTGCTGCAACATGGACAATAGCCTATTAATAGCTGCCACATGAACAATAGTCTATTAATAGCTGCCACATGGACAATAGTCTATGGTTAGCCGCCACATGGACAATTTTCTATGGACAACTGCCACATGGATGATATTCTATGGACAACTGCCACATGGAATATAGTCTAATAATAGTTATGGACAATAGTCCATGGACAGCTGTCAATTGGACAATAGTCTATGAATAGCTGCTACATGGACAATAGCATGAGGACAACTGTCACATGGACAATTGTCTTTAGATAGCTGCAACTTGGACAATAGTCTATGAACATGTGCCACATGGACAATATTCTATGGACAACTGCCACATGGACAATAGCCTATGGACAACTACCACATTGACAATAGTCTATGGAGAACTGCCACATGGATAATAGTCTATGGACAACTGCCACATGGACAATCGTCTATGGACAGCTGCCACATGGACAATATTTTATGGATAGCTGACACATGGACAATAGTCTTTGGATAGTTGCCACTTGGACAATAGTCTATGGACAACTGACACATGAGCAATAGTCTCTGGATAGCTACCACTTGGACAATAGTATATGGACAACTGCCACATGGACAATAGTCTTTGGATAGCTGCCACATGGACAATATATTCTGTGGATAACTGTCAAATGGATAAAAGTATATGGACAACTATCACATGGACAATAGTCTTTGGAAAGCTGCCACTTCTACAATAGTCTATGGATAGCTACCACATGGATCATGTTCTATGTGGAACTACCACTTGGACAATAGTATATGGAGAACTGCCAAATTGACAATAGTCTATAGATAGCTGCCACATGGACAATAGTATATGGACAGCTGCCACATGGACAAAAATCTATGGATAGCTGCCACATTGATAATAGTCTATGGATAGCTGCCACTTGAAGAATAGTATATGGACAAGTGCCACATGGACAATGGTCCATGAACAGCTGCCAGTTGGACAATAGTCTATGGATAACTGCCACATGGACAATAGCATGTGGATGCCTGTCACATGGGCAATATGTTATGGATAGCTGCCACATGGACAATATTCTATTAATAGCTGCCACATGGACAATAGTCTATGGATAGCCGCCACATGGACAATAATCTATTAGTAGCTGCTATATTCTATCGACAACTGCCACAAAGATGATATTCTATGGACAAGTGCCACATGGAATATAGTCTAATAATAGCTATGGACAATAGTCCATGGACAGTTGTCAATTGGACAATAGTCTATGGATAGCTGCCATATAGATAATAGTCTGTGGATAGCTGCCACATGGGCAATAATTTATGGATAGCTGCCACATGAACAATAGTATGTGGACAACTGCCACATTGATAATAGTCTATGGACAGCTGCCACTTGAAGAATAGACTATGCACAACTGCAACATGGACAATATTCTATGGACAACTGCCACATGGACAATAGTCTATGGACAACTGCCAGATGGACAATAGTCAATGGAGAACTGTTACATGGACAATAGTCTATGGACAACGGCCACATGGACAATAGTCTATGGACAGCTGCCACTTGGACAATATTTTATGTATAGCCACCACATGGACAATAGTGTTTGGATAGCTGCCACTTGGACAATAGTCTAAGGACAACTGCCACATGGACAACAGTCTATGGACAGCTGCCACATGGACAATAGTCTATGGATAGCTGCCACATTGATAATAGTCTATGGACAGCTGCCACTTGAAGAATAGTCTATGCACAGCTGCCATGTGGACAATATTCTATGGACAACTGCCATATGGACAATAGTCTATGGATAGCTGCCACATGGACAGTCGTCTATGGATAGCTGCCATTTGGACAATAGTCTATGGATTGCTGCCATGTGGACAATATTCTATAGACAACTGCTACATGGACAATAGTCTATGGATAGCTGCCACATGGACAATAGACTATGGTTGCAGCCATATAAACACTAGCGTGGGGATAACTGTTACATGAACACGAAACAAAACAAAACATATTGTTCGGATAAGTGACAATTAGCACGGGAATAACTGCCATAGAAGCTGAGACCTGATCAATTATGACCATTATGTATATGATTTAAAATACTCACCGCTGTTACTATAGCCCGTAGAGCATCCTGTCTGGGGGCAGGTCCGTGTACAGTTAAGCTCACTTTCGTCTTCGCTGACACTGCAATCCTTCACACAAGCACCAGTGTTCCGATCACAAACACCATGAGAACACAGTGTACATGTTCCATTACAGTATTCACCGTAGAACCCATCTCTGCACCCATCCACACATGTGCCGTTTTTGGAGTCACATGTTCGGTTGGCGCAGTTCTTAGGACAAGGTTCACAGGCTGACCCGAATTGATGAAGTTCACAGCCTTCAGCACAGGAACCGGCTGCATTACATCTTTGATGTCGACATCCAGGATTACAGGGAGAAGAACACCTCGGGCCGAACCAGCCATCCACACAGCCATGGAGACACGTGGCGCTGTATTTGTGACATTCACCTGTACAGCTGTCTGACGTCACAGCAGGAAGACACTTGTGGACTGACTTGGGGCGGCAAGTTTTACTGCAAATCTCGGCACAGAAATCCCCGTAGAAGCCAGGAACACATTCACAGTCAGACTCACAGGATCCTGCACAGTTCTCACACGTCACCTCACAGTTTACCCCATAATGTGTTGGGTCACACTCGTCACATACTCCTGTCATCCTGTTGCAGGTTCTGCAGTTACTGGGACACGTCTTGCATCCTGATCCGTACCTGGAGTCTCGACATCCGGCAAAACAAGCATCACTCAGCTGACAGTACTCCCCGTCACATCCACCTGGACACACTGTACAGTTGACCACGTGACTGTCACATGGTCCGTCACAAATTATGCCTTGGTATCCCGGTACACATCCATGAGAGCACGTGTATGAACCTTTACCCGGGACTAGTTTACACATATTGTATCTGCACGTGCTGCTGCATTGCGACTGGCACTTGAGCCCATAAAAGCCTTTGTCACAATCCTGTAAGCAATCGCCGTTGACGTCGCAGTCAGAGCAATGCTGTCCTTCCTTACATCCAGCTCCTGTCAAGTAAAAACATGTGGTCTTAATCTAATAATATGTCTTCAAGAACCCTGAAAGGATTGCTTTTGTCTAAATACAATACATAATTCCTTCCCCTCTTTCCTTATGTTGATAGATGTAGTGCCATCTAAATCTCACTGATGTGCCCCAAAAAGAGACAAACTGAAAATGAGTGATGACACCAGGTGTTCGCGTTAAGGGTAAGCAGTAACACCGAAACTAAGTATTTACATTCCGATGCCACGTGACGGCGGCCCGATAACCAAGTGATGGGCTAGAAAATCCATTTGTATATTACATTTTTGCGATATTTTGTGATTATTTGATCCGCATTCTTGACGTTGGAGAGTCAGCGAAGCATACAAGCTATGGACAACAATATCTTGAATATTTTACTTTGTTATCAAGCAGAAAGTGACAAATCTGCATATTTGACTAGGGTGAGTGAGTGAGTTGCCTTTTACGTCGCTTGTAGCAATATTCCAGTAACATCACGGCAGGGGACACCGGGAAAGGATATTTCAGAAGACAGACATTATGATTCGGTATCGTAAATATCTTTTTACCCATGAAACCAGTTTGCTGTACTTTCGTCGTTACGTTATGTTAAAAAGGCCTCAAAGCTTACTCATTTCACACAAACGTTATATATAAGTGTTGAGTTGATTATCATTAACTATGGTTATCGTTTTTCCTAAATAAAAGTAATATCACCAAATGCTTATGCATGTGTGTCATGATGGAACCACTGGTGCTTTTTACCATCACCAATAATTATCTATTTATATCAAGACGACACAGGCAGATAACGTACAGTCAATGTGGTGAAATTGCAATCTTTGATAGGCAAAGTCATCCACATCGTCATGCGTCAGAGATACTCACAATAGGTACATGGAAGGTATGTTAGATGTACAAATAACACACTCATCTTGCGGACCAGAAAATATTGCTTTGTTTGTATTTGCCGGTTTGTGTCAGTAGAGATGTCGAAAGTTCTGACTGACGTGAGGACTGAGTGAAAGGGCACTTGGGATTCTGTTTCGCAGCGTCACATATTCAAAGAAAGTTTGACAATATCTTACATCGTCATGTTTTGTAAAAGGCATGCGGAATGCCCAGAATGGACAACAAATGTTTCTCCTTAACTCTGGCTTTCGTCTTTCCTACCTTGTGTGTAATCAGCCACACAGACCAGCACTATGATGACAAACAAGGTCATACTTACCTGAAAACGAAATACAAACTCACAAACGCAATATATACTCAATATGATAAATATTGAAGTGATATGTGTGAGCGCAATATTCCAGCAATATCACGGCTGGGGACACCAAAAATGGGCTTATACGTAAAAATGTATGTATAGATATATTCGTTTTCTTAATTATCTGAAGTCATAGAACAGGTTAAATTAGCCGAATATATACACCTACATTAACTGTATCCCTGGTCCGCCTTGCTGTGTAGTTCACGGCAATCCCTCCACATCTGTCGCCTGATGGTTGTTTTTAGAACTTTATACTCTGATTCATGTTTATGTTTTCAGTTTCGTCATCCTGCTGTTGGCGACAACCACGGCGTGTGTGGGGCCTGGTCATCTTGTTCAACGCTGCAGGTTGTGTGACAGACATTCAAGAACGGACATCAACAGATAGTGTGTTCGGATATATGCATAATACACCCCGGACAATCTGGGCATCTTTTAGCGCGACAATGCAACACGATTTATTCTCAACCTGTCAATAAACAGGAGCATATTAGTGCAGTTAATTCAGTTATTTCAGTTACACAAAACAATTGCTTCCAGTGACTGGAAGCATGACTATGAAGTCACTATACGACAAATGAATTGTTCTTACTTCTCTTCACTGATTACAGTGACGGATAATAGTGACGTAACTAAGGCATGACATTAGAAGGGGGCACCACTGAGCACTTTGTACTGAAGTCAGAAAAACTTTCCCCGGATCGTGAAATAAGAGTTTTCTTCAGCTGTATGATCTGACGTTGATTGTCACAGGCGTGAAGCTCCATGATGGCTTTATTTTGTTAAAGCATTTATACAAAATGTTAAGTAGAACTACACTGTCCCTTTCTGCTGCAGATACTCCGAGTTAGCAACGGATATTTAGGGTATAACTGTACTGTGTTTGTCGAATTGGGGACGTATACCGGTGGTTATATAGCCGCAAATTTAGTTATAACGGCGACGCGTAAGCGGAGCCGATATAACGTTAAATTTGCGGCTGTTTGAACTTAAAATTAAATCTATCATACTGTTTTGTCTTTTTTTAACACAAATTCCATCCATTTTATCTGGATAGGGGAGTTAATTGACAATGGCTTCTGCAAATTACAATGTCCTGCAAAACAGCGTTACCCCAATAGTGTAGGGATACATTCAAAGGTTTTGGTGAATCGGTTTTCAAATTGCGACCGTAGTCCTCATATTGGCTATACCATTCGCCATGTCTCGTTGCGCTTGCATAAGTCTTGGCATATTCGTGGTGTTTTTGGGGTAACTACATGCTCGTTCTGTCGAACATCGGTATTTATGTCACAAGCATACACGTGCTTTTGCACCAGTATCCCCAATTACGTTTTTCACGTTTTGAAAAATGCATGATTCGTACGAATTTTTCGAGCAGCTGCATTGTTATCGGGACCATATTGCGTTTTGGGGAATGTTTTCTATCTGGTTTCAAACCTGTACCTGCGCTTTTGTTTTTTGTATAATTATTTTAAAGGTGATAACTTTCTTATGGGATATGGGATCTGGATACTCCCATTGGCCAGCTTCCCAAACCATATTTGATTATGAGACTTAAATGATCAATGTCCTTTGTGTGATATTCAGCTGATCACAATAATAAAGGTAAAGCCCGCGAAGAAATGCATTCTTAATGATGGACGTAACACCTATCTGCATCCAGCTACAGGTACATGCTCGGCTTTGGACTCCATTTCTGTCTCATCACTCTTTAATGAATTTTACCAATCACTTCATGCCGATTCACTTTCCTGCACCATGGTACAATGCATGGTTGCCAATAAGGTAATATTCCCCTTCATGACATAAAACAAACCACAGTTCAACCAGTTGGTCTTCCATATCAAAGATGCAAATATAAATCTGTGCGATATTGCCGAAACCAAAATATCAACAATGCCTCCACCCCCAATACCACCATCCATCTCCGACGCCCCCCATCACCATCCATCCAACCTCATGCAGTCTCGAAATTAAAATCCCCAACTAATTATTTATTTTAACAACACGAATTTCATGAACTGAAGAAGCAGTGACCCTCTCATACCAACTTTTACACAGATGGGTCAAAGGAGGTATCAGCTGCAGCTGTTAAGGCGCAACTTGCAACTAACTGATGTAAATACAACTTTAACGTCTGAAGCCAAAGGTATATTATTAGCTTTGCAATTTGTTGAAAAGACTTCCAAAAACGGTTTAAATATTTTTCCTCATTCTCTGCCTTGTTTTAAGGGTATCAATTCGAAAAATTGATAATCCATGTTTCGCGTTTTAAGACACCATCTCAGTTTATCTTTAGTCGAAAAAGATGCAATGTTTTTGGCTACCTAGCCATATTGGCATCAGTTGCAACTGTAAAGCTGATGCTTCCAAAAGCTACTGTAGATAAGTCCATTGGAACCACAGATTTCCTGTATTCCGACGTCCGACCTTCCATTAGACATTATGTGAACGACGATCATTGTCGAAATAGCTAAAACACCAAAGTTCAGCTCCGTGTCATCAAGCCATGGATGAGAGATCACACGTATTCTGGTCTTTCCCGCCATGATAAAGACATGTTCCAGCAGGCATTCATATCTATTGAAACGGAAATGCACCATGTTGCATTTCTTGGAGTTGTCAAATAACCTCAATGGGTTGATTTCGCTCATATCAGACGTTTTCATGACAATATCCCCACCTTATCTGAATTAAAAACAGTTTCTAACCTCTTGATTTCAGCATATTACAAGCCATCAAACTGTGTGACAAAATACCAGTAATTGTTCACAATTGATAGTGATATTTGAGATTTTAGTCATTTGCAACATCATCTTTATTATGCTCAGTATACTGTGAAACATAATACATTTCTTGCCAAGAATAGCTGCAAAATTGCTGTTAACGAATATTCATTGACACTCCTTTCAAGTTTTTTGTCGCTATTTATTGTTCTGTAATCGCTTTGATTAGATTTCGCCTTTTCATGGCGATATGACGGTGGTCTAACCAACCACAATCCATATTGTATATACCACGGCGAAAAACAGAAAATCAAGTATTAAAAAGAGGCGTTTTGAAAGATCGAGAAATGCAATTACAGGTTACAGTTTCTTAAATTTTCAGAGCATCCTTGGCAATACAAATGTTTGGAAAACACAGTAGAAATTGATAAAGTCATCATTTTTGTCAAGATTTAGGTCCAACATCGAGCTTGATATTGGGCATGTTTACAACATACAAAACCAGAGCCAATGTAATTATTATGGGGTTGCAATTCTTGGACCTCAAACAAAAAAACCAAGGTATTTTGAGAAAGTACCAACATATTTTATTTTAGTAGTGTAAAACGATAAACAGTAAAATAATAGACTAGGAATTCTTAAGTAATCACATTGTAGTGATATATGAACAAAATACATTTGAGTATTTGTGAAGTTATTATGATTGGCAATCGTGTACAGCTTCAAATAGCAGCAATATAATACATTCGAAGCATTGGTATTGACACACAATGCCTTCCTGAAAGTGGTCAGACCCACTGAGCCATCGCCGCTCCTTGTTTCTGTGTTTTCCAGGTGAACAGCAACAGGTGATTGATACAGGTACCTCCAGTGAGACATGATACTTTCATCTGTTCGCGAACATCCGGTATCGTCGTCATTTGACACATAAACTGCTCATGGTACAGGCGGAACTGTACCATGTCTAGGAATATGAACAAGTGTTTGTTCGTTTTTGTTATTAAAACATATTCGGTATCCTAATGGTGGAATTGGTTTTGTCACTTTTCTGTGCAAAATAGTCATCTAACAAATGACCGATTAATAAATGTATATACAAATCATACACAAAAATAACCACCACCATATTGGACCCTGTACTAAAGGTACACAATTACTGGACCACCTTCACCCTCGTCGACATCGCAGTAATCATGTGTAGAGATCCTTGGTGCACCTAGACGTACTTGGACACCACCTCTGTTGGCTTCTGTCATGTCTCTGAAACACATCAACTACAGACCATGAACACCAAATCTGAAACATTTACAATACATATTATTCCCTGAAACATTGTTTGAGCAACATTCTGGAAAATGGTGAGTAAATGAGACATCGGGTATTCTGGTCTGAATGCTTTGCGTACCAAGTCCACTGTCACAGGATTCTTGGGTTCAGAATGAATGGTTTATTTACTTAAAAACCACATCACCACTGGCTACATCTTTTGCCGAGTCTGGCAGTAATGGCGACACACGCCACAAGCCTCGCTTCAGCGTTCTCTTGGTCTAGGGGAGATAACTCACTACACAATATGTGACATCTCCCTTTTTCAACAGATAATGAACTAATTATCTTATACACTTCAATAAAAGGACATAGATGTGTTGAGGATATTACTGGGTTCTAGCACATTTCAACTTTAAAGAACATGGAACTTAAACATTTAACTTTAAAAGTCAATTCTCACTGAAAATTCCCCCTTTGGAATAGCCCAACTGTAATAACTTCATGTCATCATTATGACAAAGTCCATTATTTATCATCTTGATAAACTTGAACACACTGACTTTTACCATTTAAAAGTCTTCATCATATCGCCTAGGAGGCTTACTTATGAGACCAGAGCGAGTTGTCACCAGAGTGTCTGAATCGTGTGAAGCTGGCTTCCCATTTGAGCTCATGGTCTGGTCATTTTTAACTGGAACACAGTTCTGTGACACAAGACTGGGAGTTGGGTCATCTGATGGAACCGGTTTCTCGGCCCCTGATTTGTCGATCTGGATGTGGCGTCGATTTCGGCGGTAGATGCCTTGTGGTGTCTCCACATCGTAACTTCTGCGAGACTGGTCGCCAGACTTGACGACACCCTATGTGTAGACCACTGTTTTTCACTGTCTAGCTTCACACGAACCGTGGTACCTGGAGTGAGTCCAGGTAAGGGTCGTGTAGAATGTCTTCGGTTGTACTGTTGCTCATATCGTTTCTTCATCTTGTCGTCTTTGGACTGAACTCTGTCCAAATCTGACCACTGGGGAACTAGATTGTCTCTTGTGATTGGCAAAGTAGTGCGTAGTTTTCTACCAATCATCATCTCTGCAGGGCTGGAACCTGTGGCTTCAATCGGGGTTGATCTGTAAGACAACAGTGCAAGATATGGATCGTCTTGCATTAACAGTCTCTTAGCAATTTTTACTGCGCTTTCCGCAGCACCATTAGCCTGCGGGTAGTGAGGACTGGATGTTGTATGGTGAAAGTTGTACTGTTGGGCAAACTTCTTGAATTCTTCAGACAAGAACTGCGTGCCATTATCGGACAGTACCTCTCCTGGAATTCCCCATCGTGCGAACATGGCTTTCATTTTTCCAATGACTTGCTGACTTGATATGTTTGTCAAGTGAGCAATCTCGATGAAGCGTGAAAAGTAGTCTGTTACCACTAGAAAGTTCTGACCATTTATGTGGCACAGGTCAGCAGCAATCTTCATCCATGGCAGTTGTGGTAATGGAGTGGTAATGAGTGGCTCTCTTTGTTGAGTCGGCCTGTTGCAAATGCAAAATGTACACCTCGCAATTCTGTCCTTAATGTCATTTACCACACCTGGCCACCACACACAAGTTCTGGCTCTTTCAGTGCACTTGGTAACCCCTTGGTGACCAATGTGAATGGACTCCATTACTGAGTCTCTCATACTTCTGGGAATGACAATGCGATTTCTGTACATAAGAAGATTGTTGGCAGTTGACAGGTCAGTGCGAACTTTGAAATACTGTGTGGTGAGTTCCGGCATGTCGCTAAGGTAATCAGGCCATCCATACTTGGTGAGCTGTATAGCCATCCGTAGTTCACTGTCAGACATAGTTGCTTGTCTTAGCTCTTCCATCTTAGCATCGGACATCGGCTTGCTTGTAAGCACCATGTTCACATGCTGTTCAACAACCTCTCCACTGTGACTCTGTGTTGACGATTCATCCATCGGGCTTCTTGATAAAGCATCAGCGACGACGAGACACTTTCCTGGAACGTACTCAGCTACAGCGTTGTATCGTCGAAATCTCATCAGAAGACGTTGTCATCTGAGAGGAACTCTAGATCCTGTGTATTCATCAGTGGATCTAGAGGTCTATGGTCTGTCAGTATCTTGAAATCTGAGAGTCCTACCAGATATCGCTCAAATTTCTCACAGGCCCACACACTTGCAAGACATGCTTTCTCGATCTGAGCATACCTCACCTCAGTCTGAGTGAGTGTGCGTGATGCATATGTAACTGGTTTCAGTTCGTTTCCATGCATCTGAAACAAGGCTGCTCCGAGCCCATAACTGCTCGCATCGGCTGATACAACTGTTGGTAGTTTGGGATTGTAGAATACCAGTACTTGTGAACTGGTCAATGTTGACTTGATCTTTGCAAAGGCTGTCTCGTGATATGGACCCCATGCAAATACAATGTCATTCCTCAGTAGATCTGTCATCGGCTTCATCATAGTCGCTAGCTCAGGAATGAATTTTCCTAGATAACTGACCATACCAACTGTACGGCGAAGGTCTTTCACATCTGTTGGTGGTTTGAGACTTGAGATTGCAGCAACTTTTGCTGGGTCTGGACTTATACCGTTCTTGTTGATCTTGTGTCCAAAGTAGACTATTTCTTTCTGTGCAACATGACATTTCTCCTTGTTGAGGACCAGTCCTACTTTCTTAAGTGTAGATAATACATCATCTAGTCTCTTGCCGTGCTCTTTTGTATTCTTCCCATGCACGATGATGTCGTCCATCATTGCTTCGGCACCTTCCTGTCCGTTGAGAAGTTCTGTCATCTTACGCTGGAATATCTCCGGTGCAGATGTAATGCCAAACGGTACTCGCTTGAAGCAAAAGCGTCCGAAAGGAGTCATGAACGTCGTTAACTGCTGACTGTTCGGCGACAGAGGGATCTGGTAGAATCCACTTGCTGCATCCAGGGTCGTGAACATGGTGGAACCTGTTAACTTCGGTGCGATGTCATCTAGGTTCGGAATCATCTTGTTCACGTTGTACTGCAGAGTTCAGCTTCTTCAGGTCAACACATATCCTGATCTTGCCAGATTTCTTGATAACAGGAACCATAGGAGCACACCAGTCTGTTGGTTCAGTGACTTCTTCAATAATGTCAGCTTCTTTCATTCGCTGAAGTTCATCCTTCACCTTTCCCATCAGTGGAAACGGTATTCTTCGTGCCGTAGAGATAGCATATGGTTGAGCATGAGTTTTCAACCTGATATCAACTGGAGTACACTTAAGTAATCCGTACTGACCAAACATATCATTGTCAATTTCACCTATGTGCTTGACTACACCCATCTTGCTACAAACAGTCCTGCCTAGAAAGTTGTTGTAACCCCTGATCACAGACACTCGAAACTTGTAAAAGTCACCTTTGTATCTAGTTGAAGTGAAGAATTCACCCAGGCATGTAATTCCGCTGTCAACACTTCTCAGGTTAGAAGATGAAGGAGACAACTTTGGTTTGATTCTAATACTGTTGTACGTTTCTTCATTGATTACAGTGGTATCGGCACCTGTATCGATTTTCAGTTGAATAGGTGTGTCTTGTATCTTGAGAGTGGTAAACCATGGCTTGTCATTATCATCACAATCTACAGATCCCAGGAAGAAATCATTGTCATGATGATTATCATGTGTGCTTGGACTAGCATCAACATTATGCACTACCTCTACATTATGTCTACCTCTACAGGCTACTTGGAAATGTCCTATTTTGTGGCAAGAATTACACATCTTTCCTGAAGCTGGACATCTTCCCTGATGAAAACGTGCACACCTACCACAAGCCTGCCTGGCTGACTTTCGGGGTGAATTACCTCCCCTAAACGGTCGCCTGTTACCATGGTTTCCTGGTTTGGTGAAGTTAGGTCTGGCCTGTCTCTGTCTGTTCTGTAAAGCATCTACGTTCTTTGCTGCATTGACCCGTTTCTTGGTCCTTGATCTGTAACTTCACTAATTCTGACTGCCTTGCCATCTGTTTTGCAGTTTCCAGGGTTAACGTTGATTGGAGCTGCATTTTCTCCGAAGCATCTTTATCCAGGATTCCAATAACGATTCGATCTCGTATTGATTCCTCTTTATTACTGCCAAATTCACAATGATCAGCAATTTCATACAATTGTCTGAAGAAAGCCTCGACTGATTCCCCTGACCTTTGTGACCTTTGATAGAATTTGGCTTGCTCGTGAATGACATTCCTGTGTGGTATGAAATGTTCATTGAACTTGGCAATTACTGTGTCATAGTCCTCTGTTTCACCTTCACCCCAAGTGAATGACGAATATATTGTCTCTGCTTCCCTCCCCATAGCATAGATAAGACCGGAAACTTGTACCTCCTTTGTGTCCTTGTCCAGTTTCGTTGACGTGCGAAAGCGCGCAAACCTCTGTCGCCACTCGGGCCATTCTGTCGGCTTGGAAAAGTCGAAATTCTCGAGAGGGTTGAATTAAGGCATGCTTACTTGTGTAGCTCCACTTCTGACACCATGTCACAGGATTCTTGGGTTCAGAATGAATGGTTTATTTACTTAAAAACCACACCACTGGCGACATCTTTTGCCGAGTCTGGCAGTAATGGCGACACACGCCGCAAGCCTCGCTTCAGCGTTCTCTTGGTCTAGGGGATATAACTCACTACACAATATGTGACATCCACCTTAAAGATCACATATACTCACTCACTCACCCACCCACCCACTCACTCACTCACCCATATATGTAACACCCCTGGTAAACACGACGACTGTTAGGGATAACCTGCCTTTGTATACACGGGCCTTTACGGAAACAGACACAGCATATGGAACTTGCAACCAGGACGAACAGGACTGCTGCACACACAACCCATATCAGGGTGGCTGAACTCGTATGTGGCACTTCCGGCCGAGCTGATAAAACAAAAAAAGCATACACATGACGACTTGTCTGGGTCAACGAACCACTTCTCACCTTGCAGGGAACCATCACGATATTTCATCATGATTATTATTAAATATAAGTGGTAATACCCTGTCCATATCTACACAGTCACACCAGTTATTGTGAAATCACAAAGCTTCTCTACAGCAGACTTCATAGCAATTTATACTTATTTCCATATCGTGTTGGATTTTGGTGTATTTTGAAGGAAATAGCTTTCTGTAAGGATCTTCAGAGTCCCCTCACCATACATCCTCTCATCGTCTTTTACCATAACAGAACAAGTTTGGTGTGGGGCAACCAGTGCATTCGTGCAGTGACACCCGTTTTTCACTCAACATGATAATGTTCAGCATGTTCCTCTTGGTGACTTGTGGTCTAATATTTGAAGTTAATTATTGATCTGCGTCCCTTAGGTTGTAAGAAATGATTATTATCATCGTCCAAAAACATGTAAACAAATGCATATATTGTATATCTCACATAATTCGTGACTACTGTCTTAACCAGGATATTTCGGACATATATTAGAAATGAAAATGTCACCCATAGGATGACAACTCGATTAATTACGTAGTCATGATGACCACTGTTGAATTTTAGATTGCAAGTACATTGTTACCAAATTTCAGTTTCTCTTTTATTTTGTTTCAATCAGATAAAATTTGTTTCACAACAGCATGCAGGGTTTTCGCACTTTCACAGCCAAAATGTGGGTAGTGCTTGATTAATGTCCATGTGTATATTGATCCTGGTGAGAGACGTTCCGGTTTGATTCTTATACCCACGTGAAGCTATAGATATATTAGGACATCTATATTTAGAGCTTCAGTGAAATTTGTAGAAACCTAAAAGCAAATGACATCTGCAGATTTCTGATCAAACAGCATGTAACATGCTGGACTTCCTCATTACGTGTAACATTTTTAGTAATATCTTAAACATAAGCACAGTCATGCTCAAGATGTGGGAATTGTGCAATCATAGTACAGATATCTTATGAGTTCATATTTATGATTAAAGAATAACTCACTTGCATTACGATTGACCGTAGAGCATCCTGGAGTGGAGCAGGTCCGTGTACAATTAGGCTCACTTCCTTCTTCGCTGACACTGCAATCCTTCACACAAGCACCAGTGTTCCGATCACAAACACCATGAGAACACAGTGTACATGTTCCATTACAGTATTCACCGTAGAACCCATCTCTACACCCATCCACACATGTGCCGTTTTTGGAGTCACATGTTCGGTTGGCGCATTTCTCGGGACATGCTTCACAGGCTGACCCGAAATGATGAAGTTCACAGCCTTCAGCACAGGAACCTGCTGCATTACATCTCTGATGGCGGCATCCAGGATTACACGGAGAGGAACACCTCGGGCCGAACCAGCCATCCACACAGCCATGGAGACACGTGGCGCTGTGTTTGTGACATTCACCTGTACAGCTGTCAGACGTCACAGCAGGAAAACACTTGTGGGCTGACTTGGGGTGGCATGTTTTACTGCAAGTTTTGGCACAGAAATCCCCGTAGAAGCCAGGAACACATTCACAGTCAGACTCACAGGATCCTGCACAGTTCTCACACGTCTTCTCACAGTTTACTCCATAATGTGTTGGGTCACACTCGTCACATACTCCTGTCATCCTGTTGCAGGTTCTGCAGCTACTGGGGCACCTCTTGCATCCTGATCCGTACCTGGAATCTCGACATCCGGCAAAACAAGCATCACCCAGCTGACAGTACTCCCCGTCACACCCACCTGAACACAGTGTACAGTTGACCACGTGACTGTCACATGGTCTGTCACAAATTATGCCTTGGTATCCCGGTACACATCCTGCAGTACACCTGCCTGCACCTGTTCCCGGATCTAGTTTACACGTATTGTATCTGCATTTGCTGCTGCATGGCGACTTGCATTCCATTCCAAAATAGCCCCTTTTACAATCCTGTAAGCAATCGCCGTTGACGTCGCAGTCAGAGCAATGCTGTCCCTCCTTACAT